CCACCCAGGAATCAGCACTAGAAGGGCCTAATTTGCTTATGGGAATCAGGGGAAGTGACTGAAAACTGGCAGAGAGCTGAGCAACTGACATCATTCCCTCTTGGACCCCTCCCCCCCAAACAGCATCACAACTCAGTGACATGGCTTGCCCACCCTTGTGAACACCTAAGGCTCCACCCCTTACTATCCAACAGGTGAGCCAAGACAAAAAAAAATGGCCCAAATGAAAGAAAAGATCAAAGAAATGGTTGAATATAGTTGCAAATTAGATGAAAAAATGAAGGCTATGCTAAGTGAAATAAAGGAAAGTGTACAGGGAATCAACAGTGACAGGAAGGGAACTGGGACTCAAATCAACTATTTGGAACAGAAGGAAGAAAGAAACATTCATTTAGAACAGAATGAAGAAACAAAAACTCAAGAAAAAAAAATGAGGAGAGGGTTAGGAACCTCCAGGACATCTTTAAATGTTCCAACATCCAAATCATAGGGGTGCCAGAAGGAGAAGAGGAAGAACAAGAAATTGAAAACTTAATTGAACAAATAATGAAGGAGAACTTCCCCAATCTGGCAAAGGAAATAGACTTTCAGGAAGTCCAGGAAGCTCAGAGAGTCCCAAAGAAGTTGGACCCAAGGAGGAACACACCAAGGCACATCATAATTACATTACCCAAGATTAAAGATAAGGAGAGAATCTTAAAAGCAGCAAGAGAAAAGGAGACAGTTACCTACAAAGGAATGCCCATAAGACTGTCAGCTGATTTCTCAAAAGAAAGCTTGCAGGCAAGAAGGGGCTGGAAAGAAGTATTCCAAGTCATAAATAGCAAGGACCTACATCCAAGATTACTCAATCCAGCAAAGCTATCATTTAGAATGGAAGGGCAGATAAAGTGCTTCTCAGATAAGGTCAAGTTAAAGGAGTTCATCATCACCCAGCCCTCATTACATGAAATGTTAAAGGGACTTATCTAAGAAAAAGAAGATAAAAAATATGAACAGTAAAATGACAACAAACTCACAGTTATTAACAACTGGATCTTAAACAAAAACAAACTAAGCAAACAAGTAGAACAGAAACAGATCACAGAAATGGAGATCACTTGGAGGGTTATCAGCAGGGGAGTGGGTTGGGAGAGAGGGGGAAAAGGTACAGAGAATAAGTAGCATAAGTAGTAGGTAGAAGATAGACAGGGGGCGGTTTAGAACAGTATAGGAAATGTAGAAGCCAAAGAACATATATATGACCCAGGGGGAAAATGCAGGTGGGAGGGGGTGTATAGGACAGAGGAGAATAAAGGGGGGAAAATGGGACAACTATAATAGCATAATCAATAAAATATATGTATATATAAAGGAAAGCCAGTCATACAGATATGTAATTGGACAAGGGAAGATTATTTTAATAAAGCCTTTTCATAAAATTAGGAGTATTCTTTTTTGATACTACCCAAACTCCACAAGTGCTCGATTTTTTAAGGGTTGGGTGACATGTGGAATCTGAAACCACAACAATGAACTTTTCCTACTCTGTACACTAATAAGCTGTAACCTTAGGATGGTGAGAAACAGCCCAACCAGCTCAGTCAGGACCATGAGTAGGCATATTTATGCCTCATTTTCTTCAATAACAGTCTTTCAAGCTTGAGACAAAGAAGAGACCAATGATTATTTCCTCCCCATAGAGTGGGTGGAGCTAATGTCTCTAAAGTCACTGAGAGCTCTGGAATTAAATAAACAAAAGTCTGTGATCCTAAAGTTAAGTATGCTATTTTGCCTTTGAATAAATTGATATAAATAAGTGTGTGGATATGGTAGATGCTTCCTTAAATTTTTTCCTGTGACCACTCTGTTTAAAGTAACTTTTTATACATTTACTCAGAAGAATTTAATATATGTTCTCTTTTCTAAAAATGAAGGAAAAAAAAAACACTTCTCTCTAGCCACTGAGATCACAAAGCTTTATTTATTTGTGAACTATGAAACTGCATGCTTCATCTTTTTATAAACTAAGCACTAACATGAATAAGAAATACATTTTTGCAACATTTGCTTTTTTTCTTGTCTTTTATTAGTGTGCTTTAATAGTGCTTCTACTTGCTTTGCTAAAGAGTGAGATCATTTTGTTCTTACTTGAAGATGTGCAAGAGTCTTATCTACATGTAAACTTTCAACTGATTAACTTGCCTTGTATTTCCATGACAGTAAGTCATTATTAATGGTACACATTGACTTAATACAGCTTGTTTTCTTGAGGGTGGAGAGGGAATATTTATATGTTTATATATATAATTTTATTGAGAGAAATATCTTACTTATAAATAAATCTATTCCTTATGACTTTTTTGTTTAAAATAACAAGTTAAACTGTTTTACAAGAAGTAAAATAGTCATCATGATTTCTCAGAATATAGTTGGTTTTCATTTTAGAGCACTAAGAGACCCACCCAAAATTACTTGTGCAGATGCTCCTTTCCAATATGTGTAAGGGTACAGGGACAGGTAGAATAGAGATACAGAAATTTCACAAAAAATAAACCTAAAATACTAGTTCTTCTCCTCCTTGTTTCTTTCTTAAACCAGAATCCATGAACATCAGTGCCAGAGATAAATCCATTTGAGTTCTTTATCAATGTGATGCATTTTGTGGTGGTGATATCAGTTTGTTGCTCACCCAATACCCAAATTTTATATAGTTTTTTTTTTTAAACTTAACTCCCAGTATCAAAAACTAATGTTGAAATGTCACTACCTGGCCCTGGCTGGCATAGCTCAGTGGATTGAGCGTGGGCTGCGAACCAAAGTGTCACAGGTTCGATTCCCAATCAGGGTACATACCTGGGTTGCAGGCCATGACCCCCAGCAACCACACATTGATGTTTCTCTCTCTCTCTCTCTCTCTCTATTTCTCCCTCCCTTCCCTCTCTAAAAAAAATAATAAATAAATCTTAAAAAAAGATAATGAAAATTATCATTTAAAAAAATTAAAAAAAGAAATGTCACTATGAGAAATCAACTCTATCAACATTAGCAGCTATTATAGAAATAATCTAATGAGGAAAGAGAGAGAGAAGAAAAAAGGAAAGAGAAAGGAAGGGAGGGAGGGAGGGAGGGAGAGAGAGAGAAAGGAGAAAGAAGGAAAAGGAAATATATTCCGGGGTTTTTTTTTTGCTTAAAAACTTTATTATAGGTTTTAAGAAATTGGACCCTCTTACATTTGAGCTCAAGTGTTTAAAAAGAAACCAAAACTTTATGGGTATTCAAGAAAATATGAACACCGGTCTCAGGTTTCCTGACACCAAATATGTGGTGCCTTTTCCAACACTGATTATCCATCTCTGATTCTCTGACACCAACTGTGTGTCTTACAATTCAATCCTATTGTGACACTAACCATTCAGAGTTAGCATCAGACTCCATAGGTTTAAGTGCTCAGCCTCTCAAGACTGACCTTCTTTCAGACATGAGTCACAGGCCCTGGGTCCCCTGGTTACCACCTGCACTTCTGACTTAACTACAAATTTGAGGGTACTCATAACCACCACTCCTAACCCAACTCAAGTTTGATAATTTGCTAGAACTACTCAAAAAACTTAAGAAAAGACCATACTTAATATTATGGATTTTTATAAAAGATGAAAATGAACAGCCAAATAAAGAGGTACACAGGATGAGGTCAGGAGCCTCTGTCCCCATGGAGTCGGGGTGCATGATCCCACCAGCACATGGGTGTGCTCACCAGCTTGGAAGTTCTCCAATCCCCTTTGTTTAGGGGTGTTGATGGAGGGTCCCCAGTAGGCATGATGGGTTAAATTATCAACCATTGGTGACTGAACTCAGCCTCCAGCCTTTCTTCCCTCTCTGGAGATGGTGAGAGGAGGGGAAGGGCTGAAAGTGTCCACCTTCTTGTCCCAGCCCCCATCCTGAAGCTATCTAGGGGCTCAGCAAGAGTCACCTTACAAACTCAGGTAGGTTTGAAAGAGGCTTGTTAAGAATAAAAAAAGGTGCTCTTATTACTCTTATGACTCAGGAAATTCAGAGGGTTTAAGGAGCTCTGTGCAAGGAACCAGAAACAAGACCAAATATATTTTTTATTATACCACAACTGGGTTTCCTCCAGGTAGTGGAGAAGAGGTTATGCATGTGGCGCAAGGAGAGAGATTTTTTCTTTCATGCCAAACATTCCTGAATCTTTTCCCTAGCCACATTTGCTGTTCAGGTATCTATGGCTGCATATCATTTTTAGCCCCTTAAACTAGAGTGACTTAAAACAAAAAATAATTATTGCACAATTTTGGAGAAACAGGAATTTGTGCACAGCTCAGCTGGGCGCCTCTGATCAGTGTCTCCTATGAGGATGCAGTCAAGCTGTCAGGCAGGGATGTGGTCTCACCTGAGTGGAGCATCCAGTCCCAAGCTCACGAATGGTTGCTGGCCTATCTCGGACTTCAGCATGTGGACCTCTCCATAGGGCTGTTCACAGGATGGCAGCTTGCTTTCCCCAGGGCAAGTGATCCAAGTGACAGAGAACAAAACAGGGCCCCCAAAGTGGAAGCCACAGTCTTTTAATAACAGTCTCAGGAATGATACCCCATTATTTCTGCCAAATTCTGTTCATTAGATATAAGTCATTAAGTACTATCTGTACTCAAGCAGAGGGTATTACACAAAGACATGATACCAGAAGGTGGGATCATTTATACCTACCCTAGAGGCTTCCTACCGTAGTCGCCCAAACATAATTGGATTTGGTAAATGGTAAGAACCACTGGACAACAGGTGAGAAAGGAAATTATAAAGACATTTCTAAAGCTTCTCCAAAGCTTTTTTCAAAGTATTCTCATTGACCAAAACCTCTTCCGATTAATTTTATAGTCACCAGCTAGATCTCAGCAAGAAGGTTGTATGCAATCAAAGGAGTAAAATCCCAGTAGAAGGAAATAGTTTAACTTTATGTACTTGCTGTCAAGTGTTAACGACCTCATGTGCCCATCTTTTTAAAGGGTGAACCAGGTTTCATTGGTCCTCAAGGAGAGCCAGGCTTACCAGGGTTACCAGGAACAAAGGTGAGTGGAGTCTTTTTTTTCTTTCCTTTCTTTCTGAATTTTTCTGTCATATATTTTTAGTTCGTTAGGTTGAAAGATATGTGGGGTAACTTTATTATTTAGGTGAACATATATATTAGCCTAATAGAGAACTAAAGCAGCCTATCACCCATTCTAACACTTCTAATGGGGATACCATCTTAAATGGAGTAACAGGAAGTTAATTTTAGCCTTAGGTAGGACAACAGGAAAATAGAATGTATTAGTTATGTATTAGTTGTTCCAGTTGTCCCCGAAATTGCTCCTAAATTGCTGTGATGCTATTAGCTTCCTGGCCATATGGAAAAGTGGAGGAATTCTGAGGAGGAGAAATAGAACTCATTAACTCCTGCCCCCTATCACTGATTTTAGGACATACTTGTAAATCAACATTATTATTATTCCCACATCACTCCCTAGATTTCAAGGAATACTGATGTCATATAGATTCCTAAGTGCCTCATCCCAGCAAGATCCATCCTGAAAAACATTTGCAGAAAGATTCTGTAATGAAAACCATCTCATAATCTTCCACTTGGCAACCCTAGAGAGGGCCCTAAAAGCACAATCTATATGCCGGCAAATAAAAAATTATGTTGCTATGGATACAGTAAGGTCTATGGTTTTCTTTTTATCTACCCAGTAAGACATAAAAAGGTACAGGTCTGAGGATGGAACCTTCCTCGTGACAGACTCATGAATCAAAGGAGGGGCAAAATTAGATCAAACTTTTTTTTTTAACTATAGCAGTCTTTGCCTCAGTATGTATTGCATCCGTCAGAAATAAACCAGGACGACTTCCAGGAGCTGGAGAAATGTGTTCATGGTCTGTTCTGACAGAAGGGTCCTCATTCCCTCTGGTCGGGAGAAAATAACTCTAATCCTAGTAAATGGAAACTGTGTGTGGCCCAAGGGAGGCTGAAACTTGGTCGAATTTATGCAAAATTGCTTTTTTTCCAAGCAATTTCTTTTTCACATAATGAGCTGTCAAACTTATTAACAAAATACGAGAAATGCCTGTTTTAGCCTGAACAGATTCACACAAGAAACACACTTTCTGGAATAAAGGGAGAGCGAGAGAATAATGAGCATTCTGTGTCCGTGTGAGAACTGTACTCACTGGGCTTGCAGCCTCCAGGAAGGAGGGCAGTCTCGGTTCGGGCACAAACAGGGGAAACCCGGTCAGTGCTGCAGAGAAGCAAGCATGTGCTCACTAATCTCCAAATGTCTGGGGACAGTACAGAGTGGAGTTTATCCCAAATATCTCTTCTTTAGTTTATTGATTTTAAACTATTCCACAGTTTAAAAAAATCCAGGTGTAGAGCCCTCAAGTCAACATTAATTACTGTTCATGAAGGACCCAGCCTGATTTTACAGACCAGATACTTTTATAACAGATACTACTCTGAACTCCCAATGAAAGTACAGAATGTGAGGTATCTGTTTCCACAAGAAGGGATGTAGATAGGAAATTCATTTTATTAACAATATCATGAAGCCTATTTTTCAGCTAAATTGTCTCTTTCATGAATTTGGTACTGTAACAGAAAAGTCATGATTATGTAAAAGTCTCTTGCAGCCAAACACTAGTTTTTTCCCCAATTTTGTAGATAGTCTAGATTTGTACCACTCAATTCAGGTTGAAAAAAATAAATTAGCCCTGCATTTTACCCCCAACACAGTGAAGAGAAATCATAATGATGGAAGATGGATAATGCCATTTAAAAAGGCAAGAGATTTATAGGATCTGAAGAGAAACCAGAGTATAGATAATGCCATTTAAAAATGTATTTATGCATTGTTATATCCTCAGTGTCTACCTTAGTCCTGGGACAGAGACACAACAGCCTAAAGAGATGGGGTGTTGTTCCCAATAACTTAGAATATTTTGAGTACTACTGTTTATTCATTAATTCAATATTTTTTCTAGTGTTTGAGAACAAAGAGTAAATGGAGCAAAAACATTCTCTACTCTTCTGCCGCTTGCATTCCAGTATGTGTGAGGGAGGGCAGGACAGGAGGGAAGTAAAGAAACAATGTGATCCAGAAAGTGATAAGCAACTAATTAAGGGCACTATGATTTTTTTTAAAAAGTGATTCTAGGTAAATATATATTGATTCTACTCCTATGGCTTATACGTATAAATGATTTTCTAAGGTTTTTGTTCTTCCCTAAAATATTACCTTCTAGTTATTATTTTAGAATTCTTCTATAAAATATTAAGAAAAACACTAAGTATGGTATTTTTTTAAGTAAAAATGTCATATATCACCCAACGTGCATCCGTTGCATCTTGAATCCCTGGAAAAGCCCTCTGGAGCGTCTTTTTCACCCCTGCACCCAGTCAGATCCTTGCTTTTCTCCCACTTGCTTCATTTTCCCACTCTCCTTCATTTTCCCACTCTCCTTCTTCATTTTCCCACTCTCCTTCTTCATTTTCCCACTCTCCTTCTTCATTTTCCCACTCTCCTGGGTTCGTGCTGAGAAACCTGCTGAGACTTCTTTCATCCTTGCCCTGCTCTGTCCCACCTCCCCTGCAGAACCATAAAGGCTTCCCAGAGTAGGAATGACACACATAAACATCTCAAAATTGAAAGCCCTACATCATCCATACAGATCCAATCCATTTTCTTCTCTTTTCCAAGATGAATCCATTCCTTCTGTGAACATGCCAACACCAAACTGAACTGAAAACCTGTTTGATTATTAAAATTCTGCCCACCATGCAGGAAGCTAGACAGTCTGCTGTCTGTCTTGCCAGAGGGTGATTTGGCCAATGTCTAAAATGTTCATACTTTTTGACACAGCAATTCCTCAACTACAAATTTACCCAAAGCAAATGACCAGAAATGTCCAAAGGGTTCCATACAAAAATATTTATACAGAAGTTGAAGATGAAGCACAAACAGTTCTAAATTACAGCTTTTTCTTTTAAAAGCTTTGTGACTTTGAGAAAGTTACTTAGCTTCTCTGAACTTCAGTCACCTCATTTGTAGACTGTAAATACTAACACTTTTCTCATCTACCCTGAGAATTAGAGTAATGTGTGTAAAGTGTTTTGTGAAGTTCCTGTACTCACTAATAACACAGTCATAAACAGCGTAATGATAAAATGCAACCTGCTCATCCTTCAGAATGTGGCTGGAGCCTCACCTTCAGGAGCCAGGCTGGATGACTGAAGACCCCTTGGGCTTCCCCTTCTCACCTGTGTCCTTATGTTACTCCTCAATTCTTAACTGTTTTGTTATGTAGATCTCGTCTGTCTAACCAGATCACTAGCTCCTTGGGGCCAGTGACCTTGTTCATACTTCACAGAGCTGTGATTAAAAGCTGTAACACCTCTGTGTCTTGTACCATGCTGAGCACTTTACATTTATAAGTTATGAGATCAGTACTATAATTTTTTATATTTTACAGAGGAAATTGAGGCTTTGGGAACTTAACTACTTTGCCCCAAAACACAGAACTGATAAATAACAGAGCTGGGGTTAAGACCCAGGATGTGGGATTACAAGTAGCCTGGCCATTGTAGAGTGACAAGTTATAACCATCACAAGGCCTTGACCACTTTGCCACGCTTCATCCCAGCAGGGCTTAGAAAGGGGCTGCAGAAGGAAAACTATGTCTGTCTCTGTTCTGAGGTATCATCATGGCCCTTATCAAGTCCTTTTAAAGGCCTTGCATGTACCAGCATAGGTTTGTGACAGGCATTTACCAATCTACTTCCTTACCTATCAAATGGAAATGATAATACAGTTGATTGAACCATCATTTTATTAAAGGAGAAAAATCATGCTGAGATTAATATAGTGCTGGGTACATGATAAATAAGTGGCAACTCTCTGCTTCCTTTAATCTTATTCAACTTATTTATTAATCTACAGGGACCAGCTGGGGGTGGGGGATGGAGAGGGAGGTTGCCATTTTCTGGTTTTGTGATATTTGACAGGGCGAACGAGGGGAGGCGGGGCCTCCTGGAAGAGGCGAACGAGGAGAGCCTGGAACCCCTGGACCAAAGGTCAGTTATTCTTATGTTGGAAAATGACATTCTTCGGTTTGGAAAATATAAAACTAAAATCAGAAAGTTCTCAACAGGCATTAATAGTTTATTAAAATGTAAGAATAATTTATTGAAAGGCACACCAATTGGTTCTTTTCCAAAAGAATGTTACAATTCAACTTTTCCTAGTTTTCTCTCTTCTTTTCAATTAACAAATTTAATGACACATCTGAATGTAAAGGGGGAGGGGCTGTTGCTGACATTATCACTCACTGGGTATTAAAACTTGCTGAGGACATGTTGATATGTGCTGTGTTAGTTTTGATGGTAACTTGATGGTAACACCTGGAAAATATTAGCACTAAGGATTTACTTGATTGTTCAATCTTTATTTCTCTAAACTTTCTGAAAACTAATATGGTGACACTTTATTTTAATAACCCATCTTAGAGACACAGAAAATGATGAGAAGGAAATTTATGCAGATACTGTTGAGACTAAAGAGAATGAATCACAGTGCTCCTGCTGTCCATGGGTGGGAGGGCAGTTAGCAATTACTGTGGGATGAAGGTTGATGGGCAGACCAGCAAAGGAACCAATGAAACCATGAGGATACTTGTGTTTGGTGTTTTAATAGCCACCATTACATAAAGCCATATATAATGGTAGTTAAAATAAAGTGTTTCCATCTTTATGAGTCACCGATAATTTCTTTTTCCTGTTCTTATCTCCTCTGTCTTTTTTTCTCTTTTTCATCTTCATATTCTCCTATCATAGGGGAAACAAGGTGAATCAGGAGCTAGAGGCCCAAAGGGGTCAAAGGTCAGTAACCAGGCAATCATGTTAATGTAACATGAGGCCTTCAAGAGCTGTGCTTTTTTTTTGACTCTTCCACAGAGAATCATGTTTTCAATTAAACTCCTCCATGGGATTGTAATAATTTATCCCTATGATGATATCCCAGAACAATTGGTTTCTTTCATCTTGTTTGTTTTTGCATGTTCCTATGCTTCAGATTATTCTTTAAGGAAAGTTGTATTTTCTGTTTCATCGGAATAGTTTCTTTGCAAAAAAAATAAGTTCTGTACTTTATTTAACTTATGTATGGAATAATCTTATTTTCATTTTCTGGCAATCTTTGTGATAAATGTTCAAATTATACTTTGCTTTTAAGTTAGTTGGCTCCCTTCATTGCATTAAAATTTAACCACCCATTAAATTCTTTCCTTTACCATGTTCTTTATAATGTTTGCAATTATCTATGCACCGTTAGCAGAATCATGTTATTTAAGATGCTGTTAGCTAATATATAACATGGAAAAATTAGTGGAAACATGAAGAAAACAGCAGGAATTATTCTCCATCCATAGAAAATTTAATTATTATGGATTGGTATGGATGGATAAAAACTTTTCCTGCTTTTCCTGCTTGTCTTCATTGGTCCTTACCCACTTTATAGTAATATATAGAAAGGCATGTCAAAATGCTTTTGATTCTATGTGGAAAAAGATCTGAATAAGTTTAATGCCGTTTAAAAGAAACTCCAAATATTCAGGTTCAAATCTGTTCTCTGACACTTCTGTTTAGACCTGTGAGAATGTTGAGTGTTCTCAGGGTGTAGTTTGAGATTTCGACTCTTCCTGGTGACTTCCTGGGGTGGGTGGTAACACCATAAATGGAACTTCAGAGACTTTTCATGTTGCATTTAAAAAGAGGGAGAGCTGGCTTTAACCTTTCCTTGACTTTCAGCCCTGCCCACCAATCCCAGCTATCCATGGTCCACGGCAGCACCTTCCAAGTATTGAAATGCCTGTACCTACAGGAAAATTTCCTTCAATACCCATCATCAGAGGAAGGCCTACTGGTGACCTATCCCTTCTGATTCACCCTAAAATGAGCTCTCCACTCCTTCCCTGTCTCAATCATTTACACATTACTTCTCAGAGGAAAGTCAAAGTGGTTGGCTCTTATTTCCTCTGCCCCAGACCTTTTCATATAAAGGCAAGAACATGGTTCAGTCTGAGAGGTAACAGTGTACTTTGGGTATCATGGAAACCACTTGCTTCGCTTTTGAGGATCCCGAGCAAGAGAGCAACATATGTATTGTTGTTCCAGGAGTCTCTCTTATCTTAAAGAAGCATTTGCCATGTTGGTGGTTATGGTTCTTCTAGTTGTGATTTTCAACTCCAGAAGTCTGTATTAAGGCTACCACTGTATGGTATTAAATACATCCTTATAGCTGAGATATTTTTAGACTGTTGGCCTAACTACTAATTAGTTTTTTTCTCTTTTCACTGGTGAAGGGTGACCGTGGTGACAAAGGAGACTCTGGAACATTAGGACCAAGGGTGGGTGTGTCTCTCATCTAAATTTTTGCCCCTCCTCTCCACCATTATAAGCTCAGATTTAAAGTATGTGTCTGTGAATCCTTTCACAAGGCACTTGAACTAATAGCATACAATAATAGCACTGGAGGTAGACTACTGTAGTTATTCCTGATCACCCCCTTTCTTATTATTTTTTTATTTCAGTCACTGGTGGCAATGAGTATATAGATTGTAACTCATAAAACAAGTTCAAAAGAAGAAGATCTAAAGAACCCTCTCAATCTCCTTCTGACAAACAAATGATAGCAAACCCATGGTTGTCCAGCTAGTAGAGTTTTCTATTTTTTTAATTAGCCCAATTATATAGAAAGCAATAACATGTATTTTCAAAGTCTTTTAAACACAGGCAAGAAATGAGGACATGACTAATGGAAATTCAGTGGCAGAGATAATGAGCAGGATAGAAGTCTTAAAAATATATGTATTCTCTTTTGTGGTCCCTGTTTGGTTTTATTTTAATAGAATTCTATTCCTGTTGGGAAAACCAGGAATTTCCTAAGAACAGTGTTCTATCTTCTTAAAGAATGAGAAAGCAATCTTTGAGTTGTAGGTGACTAGAAAGGTTTGAGTTGCTTTAATAAATATGAATAAAGCCAATAAATATTTGCAAATCAAATCAGATTAGCCTACCTTTTGTAATTTTCAGAAAACAGTTCAGATATTGAATCACATTGTTTTTATTCAGATTTCATATCTTTAACATACCACAGACAAGGAAGTTAGAAATAGTTTGCCTCCTTTGAAATAAAGACAAAATTCAAACATGATTTATGTATGCATTTGTGCCTTCACAGGGAATTAATGGCCTAAGAAAGCTGTAAGTTGCTACTTCTGTTTTCACCATAGTCCTCTCTATATCCCTAGCCTAACCACATGGTTTTCTGTTGGTTGGTTTTTTTATAGGGTCCACCTGGCCAAAAGGGGGATCAAGGAGCCACCGAGATCATCGACTATAATGGCAACCTCCACGAAGCCTTGCAGGCAAGTGACTGCTCCCCGCCCTGACCCAGACAGTGATGCTGAGGTACACTGTGTAATGAGTGTGAACATCAGTTTCCACACCCCAGGGATCCCAGAGGTCCACTTCTCAAAGTGCCCCCTCTCCCTGTCCTGACCCATCCCCTTCTTTCTGCCCCAGTTTATTCTCTTTATTTCCTAACGCTTTTCAATCTTTCTTTTCCCTTCTACCTTCAGATATGCTTAAGTCCTACCTGTTTTAGATATTGTGTTAGTTTTGCCAATTTTTGCCTCCTTGATTGAAAAGCAAACCTAACAAAGCAATGAAGAGCCCTGTGGTTCTGCAGTTAAAGTTGCCTGGGTTCAAATCTCAGCTCTTTTGCTTACTAAATGCATCAAGCTAATTTACTTCTCCATGCCTCAGTTTTCTCTAAAATGAGGACAGTCATAGTATCTACCTCATCGGGTTGTTGTGTGCTGAATGGGAGTTAAGGGGCTGAGTACCTGGCACAAAGTCCTCTGTGGGTGTTTCTTATTACTGCTACCATTCAATTCTTTGTCTTCTGCTAAGTAAAAACTATAGATTGTGTGGCACGTCTCCATCACTTTGCACCCTAGTCATCCTTTCCATGTTTAGACTCCTGCACTCTAGCCTGTATCATCATTCTGTTGGACCTTCTCCTATAAAGGTCACTAATAACCTCTAGGTCAAGCACATTGTACTTAATATCCTTGACTTCTTTTGACATTTACACTAAACCAACTTCCTTTTGAAACTTTTCTTTCTGGTTTCTCTGATCTCTACTCTCATTTCTTCCAGTTTTCTTTTTTTATGGATCCACTCACTTTTTGTAACTCCAGGTTCTCTGTCCATTCCCTAATTTTTGGCATCATCTCTGGTCCTTTCTTGGTGCAATCACTTCCTGTTCTTCTGTAGTGTGGCTGCTTCCAAATCTTTCATTGCTAGGTCAGACCTGGCATGTACTTCCAGCTGTCTAGGAAAATCTCCTCTGTCTAGGAAAAACTTCCACCAAGACACATAATTAAACTGGTTACCTTTTCCACCTACCAAGTGATTCCCTTTTTTAGCTAACCAGTTTCTTTCAATTAGACAATAAGTCTTTTAATTTCTTGAGATAGAAACCTTACAGTTATTTTTAAACTATTCTTAGCCCTTCACCCATTATATATCACCAGATGCTGCTGCTTCCTTTTTCAAAGTATCTGATGAGGCTGCCCCATTCTATCCATTCCAAACTGGGTCCACACTCCACTTCAGGTCTAACACCACAACAAGCCCTCAGCCAGTTCCTCTGCCCTAATGACTCTTGCTCTTCTGATCCATCCTGTTACCACTCCAAGGCTCACTTTCCTGATTTTTACTATTTTAATGGCTTCAGTGTGCTCAGAAACCTAAATGGACCCTCTCACCTTCTCTATGAGGCTCAAACTTCTCCATTGGGCTTCTAAGCCTCTGTAATCCTGCCTTTCCTGTACAGAATTTTCTATTTCTCTACAACACATTTCCCCCCAAATCAGTCATATTGATCACATCCATAAAAGTCCCCCTCTTTTTGCCTGGTCTATGCCATTCTTCTTTCCTTTTTACATCCATCTAAATCATTTCCAAAAATCCCCTGCCACCACCCAGATGGGTTCCTCCTCTTAGTCCTTTAAACGTCAGCAGTCAGGGCCCAGTACTTCAACATTTAATTATTCTTAAATCATGTAGATTGTTTCAGCATTGCTGCTTACCTCACTGGGAGTTGCTCAGTGACAGGAAACATGTCTTGTGCTTACTCTGTATCCCGCAAAGTGCCTGACCCTGGTCTGGCATAATTAGTAAATAAACTTATTGGTTGAATGAGTGGGTATACTTAGCTCATACGTACAGTACATTTTTTTTCTGCTTGAAAGGCAAATCAGTTGTTTTAAATATTTGCTATTTTGTACTTGTTTGGGTTTTTTTTCCTATGCTTTTGATTCACTACCATTCTTTAATTTTGGTAGGCATACATTTCTGTGGGTCCTTTGCTACAACTACCATTTTTAGCTAGTAAAGCATTAAATAGCTTTTACAGAATCTGTGTTCAGCTCAGCCTGCTTTTCTGTTCTTTTCATTGGCATGTGTGAAGAAAGAGAGAAACAGAACAAGAAGCTTAGGCATATCTGCTATGTTTTCAAAGTTCTTACTTATAAAGTATAGGGACACTTTTTAAACTTAATTTATTAACAGTGTTGTAAATTTCCCTTAAGCTGCTTCCAGTGGTGCCATAATTCTTACTACCATCTTTAAGATTCTCTTGCCTTCCAAGAAATGCTCCAGTATTATTGGCCATTTTCTGAAACCTTGTGACAGAGTACTTTTAAAGCATTCTGTGCATGAACAGGGCTTGGCATGGAGCCATTTCTATTTCAAGAAATTCAATGACTTATGGTATCATTAACAGACACTAGTTAGTTAAGAAAGGGAACCACTGGGCCTAAAACCGAAATCTCTGCTTCAGTCTCCCCTCCATTGCTAACTAGCTAAGTCATTTAGAAGAAATCAGTGTATCTATACTTCATTGATTGTATCTGTAAAACGAGGATTTGGGAGAATAAGTTATATTCTAAAAGTCTGTAAAATCTAGCATTATGCTTAGGATTATTTTCAAGAGCTCCTGAACACTTTTTGCTGGTGTGCCTAAGCACATTGCACTTTATTAAAATTGCGACGCCTGCATCTTGACATGAAGGGGATGTTGCACTCAGGTTCTTCCTCTGACCCGGAGTTCTGTACGGCCATACACAAGTCACAATTCATCGTCAACTAGTTCACACTTACATCTCAACCTGAGAAGATGTATTATTCTTGGGGACTTGTTAGGGCAACAATATGTTGTGCTTGTAAATAGTTTATAGTTTCTTTTTCACTTCAGAACTATTTATTTGCTTTTCTCATTATGTACTGTAGTGGATTAAGAGTCCCTAATAAAGTGAACTAAACTAATGATTAGATTGAGAGGAAGCTGTAGACATGCATTCTTCTAATTCTCTAACCAGTGATGAATTTTCACAGTTTTGCCAAATTTCACTTCTCTATTGCATTCTCTAAAATAAAAATCTGCAAAAAAACCTAGGATAATTAGATAAATAGGAATATATTGCAGTTATAAAAATATCACATTACAAATATAAAATTTTACTGTTGTCTCTATTGAAAGTTATTATTTACATGAACATTTGCCATAAACCATTTATTTTTATTTTTATTTAAGGTGATTACATTTCCACAATTAGCAATAAAATCTCTCCATTTCCTACTCAAGCTTTTAAAATTCCTCAACACCATTAAAACTCAACCTGTTCTGTAGTATAAATCATTGGTGATTTTAAGCTTGCATCTTTGTCAGAAATGAAACATAATAACCTTTAATTCTAAAGCAATTCACCTAAGCATCTCAGGGAATAAATTACAAAGACCCTGCCAGCCTCCCACCAGTTTACAGTCATGCCAGCCTCCCATCTCGCACCATGCCTCACTAGAGAATGGCGTGTCTTTCTTCATCACAGCCAACATCCTGGTTTTCAAATCATTCCTGAACTTCAAGAGAGAATCCTGCTGAGTTTATGTAACTTTAATTAGAAGAACCAGAGCCCTGGCAGGTGTGCCTCATGTCTGGGTGTCGTCCTGTAGACCAAGAGGTCTCAGATTCAATTCCCAGCCTGGGTTGCATGTTCTGTCCCCAGTCAGGGTGCATGCAAGAGTCAACCAGTTGAGGTATCTCTCTCACATTGATATTTCTTTCCTTCCATCCCTCCTTTTCCCTCTTTCTACAATCAATAAAAGAAAAAAAGTTAAAAATAAATAAATAAATAGCCAAATACAAGAAGTCCAACGTGAGCAGACATCTTTCCGATGTCTCTGTGGTCTGCGCGCTGGTGCTTCAGGATGGCAGTAAAGACTTGGTTTTGAGAAATTAGCTTAGTTTACTGTCAGTTGTTCTTCTGTTAACTGGACAGAACCTGCCCTGTATAACTTTTAGATCTCATAAATACAGTAATTTAACAAAATCACTTAAACTCAATCTGTCAGATAATTCACTTACCATTAATACTATTTTTTACTAAGCACCTCATTATAAAACAGACTATTGTCCTTAAATTAAAAAAAAAAAGACAAACTAGTTTTGTGTTTAGGTGAAAAATAAATTAATTATGCATGGCACATGTTGGAAAACCTCTGAGAGTTCAAATTTTAAACTCCCTTTTCCCTTTCTAAGGTCTTATGATTCTACTTTCTAGTGAAGATTGCAATATGTAATTGGAAGACAATGATAAAGAAATTATTTCTACTCTATAATTTTCTAACAACTTTTTTTTAATGACTCATCTACCTATAGCAGTGAAGATATAGCTTTCTTATAACCATAAATTTGACTCTAGCTTTAGGTGGATCCCATAAGCATAAAGTAAGTGGTATCTTAATTTATACAGGTATGATGGCATGAAAATCTGGGCCTTGGTTTGTTTCATAAACCTGCCCAAGTTTGTGGTAATTTTGCCTTGATCTTAGAAGTACTGCTTGATTTTCTCCTACTATGATTTCTCTGTAGCTGTAATGACCAGAATTGATTTTATCATAGAGCACAAACTCTAACCATTTATGCACATGCATAAATGTATTGTTTTCTAAGAAATAATGACACCATGTCACTGGAAACTCAAGTGTATGAAGTACAATAGATAATGTTAAGATTATTTTTGACCACAACAATAAAAAAACAAACCTGCAACAACAACCTGAATCAGAAATTGAACAGAGTCGTGGAAAACGAAGGGATTGCGTTAAAGCGATGTTCACAAGTTTACGTGCAGTTGGTCAGCACTTCTCTGTTGGGCCTGAAGTCCCTGATGGAGATCGTTTTCCCCTCTACGATTGCATAAATTGGTTATAGGTCCTTTAGAACATTTAGCACAAGGCTTAAACTAGAAAATATTCCTGGCTGGTGTAGCTCAGTGGATTGAGCTCAGGCTGCGAACCAAAGTGTTGCAGGTTCGATTCCCAGTCAGGGCACATGCCTGGGTTGCAGGCCATAACCCCCAGCAACCGCACATTGATGTTTCTCTCTCTTTCTCTCTATCTCCCTCCCTTCCCTCTCTAAAAAAATAAATAAAATCTTAAAAAAAAAGAAAAGAAAATATTGATACAGAAATGATTCATGGATCAAGTGTTTGGGAGATTTATATTTTCCGAGAATATATTTTGTTATAGTACTCTAGCACTTTACATTAAGAAACTAGATAAATCCCATGTCAGCTTCTCTCTTTAGATGTGGCATGCACGTACACGCCATGAGGTACAGACTAACGGAAGAAAACATGCCACTTACAATTAGATAGCTTGGTTTTCTCTAATCAAAGGAGTCTAGACTAGAGCTCTTATGAATGATGGAGTTTCTCAGGCCACAGTTACACTGACAAACCTCTAGTGTATAATATTTCATACATAATTTTTTTTAATCAGGTGAATTAAAATTTTCACATCTTCTTTTTTAATCCATAGATTTCCTTAAAAAATAAAGTCCTAAAAGTAATGTTTAAAAGAATCTTTATAATATATTGTATTTATTGGAAGATAGATAATATGCTCTCAGACTCTCGCCAATCCCTTATGAGATATCAGTCTCGCCAAAACATATTCAAAAAGTTGATTATTTCAGAATGTATTACTGCACTTTGGCACACGAAATAGGTAACTTTGTCTTTGTTGATTCACTTTCTCAACAGAGGATCACCACCTTGACCGTCACGGTAACTCCCATTGCATGGTTTCTGTGGTTTGGGGCTTCGTACTTGATGCTGAAGCATGCTGTTCCTAATGGTACTAATGTAGCCATTGTTTTCATCTGAGATTTTTGTTTTTCTTAAATTAATAACCTTTTACACTTTTGCCCCAGTGGAATCACTTTGTCTGCTTAGTAAAAAAAAGGTCAAAAAAGTTGTTTTTCTTAAAAGTCTTTGGCCTTATCTTAATTATGTAGCTTTTTTCTTGTGTTCAGGAAATCAAAGCCTCTAGAGGGGAGAGGAGAAATGTGTGTAGAATCGCAGGGAATATTAATAAACTAACTCAACCCAAGACACTGACTGTGAAACATGGCAGCAATTTTACATTGTCTTACAGATCAACCCAAAAGCATCTTCAGTTATTATTGTGGCCTAAATATTTGTTGACATGTATGCATATATAGATAGTTCAGGGAGTTTTTCAGATCCTATAACCAGTGACATTTTTCCTCATTGCAATCAATATTGGGGGATATTTGATTGTGATAGAAATTAGGAATGTGTATAGTGTAGTTATTATTTAAAGCATAAAATTTAAGACATAGACTTGGCTACTTTTTATAACTTTGTCTTTTCTGGATTTAGGGTCCCCCTGGACCACCTGGACCTCAAGGACTACAAGGGCCAAAGGTTATTTTTTATTTTACTAGTTTCCATTGACTACATATGGTACAGAGAATTCTATATTAAGTATTTCTATCTTTGAAAATCAATCTTACAAAATGCTGGAGAAGCTGAGATCAGCAGTATTGCTCAAGGAGGTAAGAATAGAAATTGAGGTTTGGGCTAAAGAAAGAGGAATCAGGAAAAAAGGAAACCTAGGAAGGAATGAAGAGAAATAGGAAAGGCAGTTTAAATTTAGGAGGAGGAAATGGAGAAAGACAGAGAATATTAAACAAGAGGAAAGCAACTTACAGAAATTATAAACACAAATAAACACTAAATGTGGTATCTGAAGGGAGGAAAATATTTAAATAGGGGAGGGTTGAAGGAAAATTTATGCAGACACTAAAAAAGATCCTTCCTTCCAATCCTTTTGTGATAAAAAGAATAAGGAGAACTTTAGTATGTTGCATGTACAATGACAATTTTAAGGAATCACTTTTGAGTCATTTTGTATAACACATACTATTATTACATGTATTCAGACATTCTGTCATTTAAATCTTATCTAATGAAGCATATGAACAACTATGAACAGTAGAAACTTAAAATTACTTGATTATATCTAAATTTGTTGCTGGCGTTAACTTTATCCCTCCACACTAAAGCTGAGTCATGTAATCAGTTAACACATGGCCAGTTACTCTGGCTTTTCAGAACTAAGCTATGTGTGTTGAAATATGACTTTCATCATTGGATTTTTGTGGGTTATTCAGATAGTTTAGAAATCCGTCTTTCATTTGTGCTTCTCAAGGTAGTTTATTTGCTAAGTCTATTATACACGTACAGACACACATGCATCAGCTTTTGTACTCATCGCTTTCAAGATACTTAAGAACAGAGAGCTAGAACATAGAGACAGTTATTTTTCTATTATAAAAAGAAATATAAAGTAAAACATTACTGAGGTTGTTGGCTATGTGAAATCATATTTGAACATAGACCTTAACTTCAAACAGACTTCCTGTATAACAGTGTAAGATAAGGTTTAGGACTTTTAATTTTCTATTTCTCTACCACATTCTGGTCACACGTAATCTCTGTTCCTGGTGAACAAGTCAGCCTGGATTCTCATTCTTTAATATCTTGGTGAGCTGACTAGACAACCTAGAGGGAAACCTGCAGGTTATTTTTCCTCTATGTAGAGTCAGCCAGGTCTGAGTTCCTTGTTTCACCTCCTCACTTGCCTGAGTCTCCAGAAAAAAATTGTCCCCAGTGCTAAATATGCACCTCATTTCCTATGAGCTCCACAACCTCTAGGACTTCTCTATATAGCCCAAACACCTACAGAAACCAGAAAGGTACCCATCCCTTGACCCACAGGGACAAAAAGGGCCACCTGGTCAAGAAGGCTGTATCATTAAAACCTACACACCTCTGTTTTATAATCCAATTGCTGTTCATTTATTAATTCAATTATCCAATAAGTAATTTTTGAGCCTCTATTCTGTGATAAGCACTAACATCTAGTAATGATACTATGGTATAGTGAGGGGTTTCATCCAGGGAATTACAGCCTGAGGAGGGAGATAGATAAGCAAAGACACAATTATTTATAAATAAGTGTAAGTGCTCTGATCAAGATGTGAATGAAGAAGGTTGTCGCAGCCTTGGGAATCAAGGATGACTTTGAGCTGAAACTGAAAGACAGGGAAATTGGCCAAACGAATGTCTAGACAAGTGGGATGGGGGGCGGCACCAAGTCATACTCTCTTACCCAGCCATCCTTCCCAGTGTGCGGTCCCTCTGCCCCACCCCTCATACCTCACACGGCCCTGATCATTGAAAACTTGGGTCAGTGGATGGGGGCCTTTATGTGTTCCATGAGCTCTCCTGGAGGAGGCTGGGATAACTGGGGTGAGATGTGCCTGTGACCACGACTCCACGACGCAGCCTGAGCCAAATGTAAACCCCATTCCAACTCAGGACTCACAGCCTCAGACTGAACAGGGACCTTTCCAATTAGCATTGCTCCTTCCTTAATCAAATAAGGATTGCGTGAATTCTTATACATGAAATAACTCTTCACAAGTTACATTTGATGGATGAAGGATAAGTGAATAACTCACAAATTAGGTTTTTCTTTGAAACAGTCGTGGATCACATTTTGAAGGTAAAAGTTTAGCAAAGCAGTCATTATTGGGCCCCGAGCACTGACAGGTATTCAGACAGAATGAAACTAGGGCTTAGCCAGTTGCATCCAACCTCAGCGGACTTATTTGTGGCAAAATAAACTTAGCTGCTACCACAAAGAGCAGGAAATCTGGAAAAGAAAAGCCCTTTCTTTTGTTTCTTTTTTTTTCATTTCTTTGTCATGCCTTCTAAAACATTGGAAAGCTCAAATTTCATGCTGCAGCCAATAGCTGTTAGAGTTTTTACCAGGAAAAAGAGCTCTAGCCATTTCAAGGTTGTGGTTTATAACATCACCAAACAAACCTTTCTAGAAAAATACAGCCTTGAGTCAGCTCCCTTGGAATTCTGTCTGTGAGGTGGGCCACTCAGCCCTCGAAGGAGCTGTTTTTACAAAGTGTCTACACTGTGGAAACAAAGGATACTGATAATGGTGTCCAAATACATGATTCACTGATATAAAACAATATCTTGCCTTTCAAAGAAGTTGTTTCATATCTTTCCAGCTGAAAGATGACTGACACTTGTTGTTTGAAAAAAATCTCTAGCACATTGTTTAAATTTGTTTTTAATGGAACATCTTCAGTTAACAAAAAATAAATCTATATATTTTGAGTTTGTCAAGAGTTTTAATAAATCACAATATAAATAGGAAATTTGGTGCATTCTTAGCATAGTATAAGAAATTGAATCGATCCAAAAGTAATTTTGTGTGGATTAAGATATTATTTGATTTATTGTAGCCCTCAGTGGAGCTACTCTGAAAGTACCATTCACAGTCATAAGTTTGTGTCTATAGCTCAAACAGTGCCAGCTAAAATATTGTGAATTTAAGGGACTTTGCATTTTATTCTTTCTTAAGATAACTGTCATATTTTAGCTTTTTTTCTCAAGTTGAAAAATAAGAGAAATCATACAGATTTTTTAAGGAGAAAAAATTAACGGAGGCATACAGGTTACTGGAGCACATGGTCAGCCATCCAAGGATTTTTTCATTCAGTTGCCTTTCACCATTTTTTCAGCTTGCATCTCACCTGAGGAAAAAAAATGTAAAGAATTAGATCTTAATGACATATAAGTATTGTTATACATAATACTCAAGAAAATGCTCTTTCACTTAGTTTAGATATGTGTTATGATATAATAGTGTATTCCTGGGTTATGATACATTTGCTGAAAGCCAAATTGTACTGTTTCCAACTAGAAACATTTTTGTATAGTTTAATATGCCACCAATGATAAACGGAAGGAAGTCATCAATTTTTATCTTAACAGGGAGAGCCAGGATCTCCAGGAATCCCAGGAGTTGATGGAGAGCAGGTAATTTTAAAGATACATACTGTCATTTAAAGCATTGTTATTGGTTACTACTTCTATTATATGTTTGAAGCCAAGAAAGGCATGTGTGTTGATATACGATAGCCTTTTTTTTTAACCATCTTTTCTGGAGACTATATTAACTCTAAAAAGCAATTGGTTTTAAATTAGACAGTTTTCTTCACAGAAACATACAAGCTATATTATGCTTTAGTTTTGTCTTTAAACTTTTTATCAATCTACTGGTGATACTTTTGTGAATTTTTAATAGACTTATACAATTTATTGTGTATTTAGTAAAAATAGCCTACTTTGTGCCAGTGAATATAAACGATTCAAGATGAAAATCAGTGACATAGTTTCCACAAAATTAGATATATGTATTTTCTTTTCCCAAGTAATGATTGCACTTAATTTTCTAGACCGTTGGAAAAGACAGAAACAAGTAGGGTTGCTGTAGCTTTGCAGGGATGGCAGTTTCTCTGAGGGTTTCCGCCAACACAGAGGTTGGCAAAGTTTCTCTATAAAGGACTGGGGAGTAAATGTTTCAGGCTTTGCAGGCCACATACAGTTTCTGTTGCATATCCTTTTTTTTTTAACACCCTTTAAAATTTTTTAAAACATTCAGCCTGTACAAAAACAAGCACTGGGCTGGATTTGGCCCATAAGCCAAAAAGAACCTGGCCAGGAGATTGTAGAGAGTATTCAAATTTCAGACTTATATCATAGGGTTAGTTTCAGGCTTTTTGCACTTTTCTCAGCTTCCATAATTTACCAAAGAAATGGCTAAAATCAAGTAGATCAGAAGAAGTCAAGGGGATTTGGGGACAGTGAATACACTCCTCAGGTGATAATATTAAATACATAAATTAAGTTTAAGAGAAGACTTGTTATATTATCAGAGTTACATGTTGAAAGTACTTGATGTCACAGTAAATAAGTGTGGTAGTTAAAAAGAGACTTTAGATGATTTGCTATATCAGTGAGAGATCATGAGAGAATTTTAAAATCTGGCTATATGTATTTCCTTTGCCACTGTTGCTCATTACAAATAACTTGACATACATAAAAACATACTTCATGATCTCTACATGTAAAATAGCTGGAGTTTTTCCTATAGGCTTTATAAGGTTTTCTTCTGCTACTCTGTCCAGAGGGCTAGCTATTCTGCTAATATCACTAGAATCCTAAAAACAACCAGGATCTGATTAGCCAGTAACATTTACTTAGTCATTCAGGCACCTACCCACTCACCTAATGGGTAATTCTGAAGCAGGTGCTATAAAATAGGTATAAGTAACAAGGAAAGAAACATTTCTGTCCATTTCTGGTCTTGGTATAGAAAAGATGAGTAGGTTGTGCAGCCTTCAGAGCCCCTTACTGTAATGGTTATGATTATCTCTGCTGAAGGATGGGCCATCTGGTCATATTGCACTGAGGAATGCAGTTTTGAGGAATGAGGAAATTATACATTTTTCCTCAATGAAAATGCTTAACATAAATTAATTTCAGTATTAGTATCACTAATTCATAGTTGTTAGCATTCAGAATATCCATCTATCAATTTTCTTGTAATAAAAGTATAATAAAAACAACATCCTGGATCACCTCACAGAGATGTGATGAGAACAAAATAGGAACACTGTGGAAAAGTTGAAGTATTTCTGAACATTATTGAGCATCAGTGTGCAGTGAATGACTGGGCCATTGGAAAAGGATGGTGGTTGGAACTTCTCCCTGCATTTAAAGGGGCCACCGGGCATCTAGTGGGAGATGGGAGAAATTTATTTGGACCTTTGTTGTTAAAACACTAGCTTCTGGTTCAAATGTGTATTACACTGTTGAGAATTAAATCTATGCAATTGTTTTCAGGACTGGTGATACAGAATTAGCTTCCAGGTGAAGATATGGAACCAGGGGAAATGATGTCAACACCTAAGTCCATGTTTTTCATACTTACATGGCCTGAACGATAGACTATAATCCCTTTTATTACGCAGGGAACCCATGTTGATTGAATGCAGAAGGCCGCTGCTAGAAATACCTCTGCCTAAAAATGAAAATCAGAATCACCCCCACATAAGGACCCACCTAGTGACAAAACCGATTGGAATTCTGTTTTTTCTAGGAGATAACTATTAAGGGTCAGTATGATTCTTACGTGCAAACTGTATCATTTGTAGGGACTCAAGGGCTCGAAGGGCGACGTGGGCGACTCGGGTGCACCAGGTGAAAAAGGAGGAATCGGACTTCCTGGACTACCGGTATGTTTGTGTTCATGTCAAGGTAAATATAATCAGGAAAGAATTGCATTATTAGTCCTGGTCTCCTTTAATAGTTCATATAATGTTATTATTTTTAAATATTTGAGGTACTGTTGTTTAATTCCTGCAACTGGGGCTCTACAACAAATTTTAAAGCATCTAAATAAATGAAATATACAATAAATCTTTATGTTTCCTGAATTATTTTCACTAGAAGATGGTAAAATAAATGAAGTTCATCACTTTAATTTAATATACATAAGACAATGATAACTTCATTTTTAAATAAGCCATAATTTAAAAGTAAACTAATCAAAAATGTAAAACAATTAAAAAAACAAATTACTCTGGAAATTGTTCTCTTTATGTGTATGATACTATGGGATGGTGTTTTTATGGTTTTCCCTATGATTTTTACAGAGAAATGGGAGGGGAAATGGTAGGAAAATGTAGGGGAAAATGCAGAAAACTTTACTGCCCTCAATTTTTAAAACAGGGAAGTGTATAAATAAACATTAATGATAACAGAGTTAAAAGACTGACCTTTCCCTTTCAAAGTGAGCACCACCATAAAAAATATAACATTTAATATGATATATTCAGCAATGTATAAGTTTAACCCATTGAGCCTAACTTAGTTTATATTGCATTTACTTTCTATTTTATTTCACATATCACCCACAGTCTAGGGGTTTGGGGAAGCTTGCTGTTTCAGGCTAAATGCAGGGGAATAAATCCTTCTTTTACATATCATGTGTACAGTGTAAAAATTTCAAGAGGATGATGGATTTTGGGAGAAAATTCAGCTGTTCCTTACACTTTGGAAATAACTTGACCAGCTCAACTCTCTTACTGATTATTTGTAGGGTGCCAATGGAATGAAAGGAGAGAAAGGAGACTCCGGATTGCCAGGTCCTCAGGGCCCTTCCGTAAGTCTGTGGGGCCAGACTTCCATGGCTCCTGTAAAACTCTGCAATGGGCCTATTATTCATTTAGTTCACTCTATGCCAGATGGCTTATCAACAGTGGAAAGACCATGAACCTCTTGGTTTGTCAAACGGTGGAATAAATACCTGTCAGCCTTGTATACAATAAGAGACAAAATGTTTCAGAGGTCTCAGTTAGAAGCAATTTTTCAGAGCACTGCCTAATCCTGGGGAAGAAAAATCAATGGTTTTCCCACGACACTTGTGGGTAGAGCTTTGTGAATACAGAACATGCGTTCTTTTCTTTTTCTCCAGAGCCCTGTTGTTGCTTAGTGAAATATTGGAGAATTTAATAGTGATTGTGGCATTACAGCATTTCTTGGTAATCAGTTGCTTCCTTTTCTTTTAATGTACTTTTGATTTATTCTGGCTTTTGTAAAACAACTGTATTTTTTTAAAGTTTTTGTTGTTCCCATAAAGGAATTTCTCTGCCTAGAGAATCAAACACATCATTTCTTCCCAGTATCCTTCTTGCTCTGCAGCTAGCTATTAATGGTCTTAACAGAAACCCAGCAAAAGATTCAAGCCAAACTGCCTTATCTAAATGAAGTAACCAAACCCATGTTTATTGTTTGAACACACAGATCATAGGCCCACCAGGCCCTCCAGGTCCCCACGGCCCACCCGGCCCCATGGTAAGTCTCCCTTCTCTCCAGAACGCAATCACTTATTTATGAGCATGCTACCAGAGAAAACATGAGTGCATTCCTCAGAACAGCCTGTTTGTATTTCGTACTACTCTCTGTGGAGTGGATGGGAAATACGAGGTGCTCTGAGATATACTGACTTTACGGTGTTGTCTTTCACTCCCCCAAACATGTCTGTTGGGGAGAGATAGAGCAGCTTTTGTGATAGGGAAGTTGGAGACAGACAGATCTGGCAAGCTCTACCCTGACCTGACAGCGTGAACATCAGAAAATCATTCTAAACACTGCTCTAGGCCATTAGCAGCAAAACAAAATTAATAATTGTAGCCATTAATGAATGCTTCCAACCAACTTTGAAGACTAACATCCTTTAATGAAATGTCCAGTAAGAACACTTATAAAATAATATGATAAAAATTGAAGCTCACTTCCATGAAGCTCCCCATACGTTGCTGGGTCTTTTCCTTTGTACTTTTGTGGTACCTTGATAGACACGGTATGTACTACAGGTGTCCCTCGGCCACCAATGTAGACAATGACCGTGTCCTCGTAGAACTTATGTCCAGTGAGGGAGGCAGCCATTAAACCAGTGTAATTCTCCAAATGTCTAATGACCATTGTGTAAAGAATAGAAGTGGGAGGCAGAGAGCTTCCAGTGCTTTTGACTGGGGCAGGATGGAAACAAGTCCAGCAGCCTCTGAGGTCCCATTCTTGTCTACAGTGCCTCAGTAAACCATGTCTTCAATCCTACCGATTAAATGAGCAGTGGGCCTCACCTTCCCCTGCTGTGCTCTAAGGAAGACCATCATCGGAATGCTCCAAGCCCCAGAGTAGAGCCCCAGACCCTGCCATCAGTTTCTTACTGTTGTTACTATTTCACCCACGGATCAATTATAGTTAACCTTATTTTCTTAACAGCTAAAGAATTTATTAAGAATTAAACAAATGGCATAGTTTTGGATTTTTTATACTCCCTCCATTTTAAGTGAAAAGATTCAATTTAAAAACACTGTATCCTGTTCATATCATAAAGTTAATTCACTTAAAAGAATTTTAAATTATGACTGAAATGAGATAAAAATACTTAATAAATATCAGACATTTCCTAAAAATTTTTATCTACAGCTTATCTAAAAAGAAAATATTATTCCAATGTAGACATATGTAACAAATTTCTAGATATTTGCTAGTTAAAAAATTTTCTTACTCTTGTATGATTTCACTGATGGGTATTTAAATACTCCTCTCTCCAATATTTATTTAAATTACTTGAAAAGTTTAAAGCAATTCACAGTAAATTTTAGTTAATTTAGGTTGGCTAATCAGTCTCTACATTTAGATTTTCCATAAAATTCAGGGGGGAAAGCTCTGATTCATGCATGCATCATGACTTCCTTCCACTGGTAAACATTTGCTACAACAACCTTGAAGAACTCATCTTCGTAAAAATAAATACGCTCTAAATACTAATGCTTACCACTACTGCATTAGAATCCTCTTCTCAGTGCGAAATGAGTGAGGAGGTGGGGTTCCGGGCTTGACTACCATCTCTGCATTTTGTTCTACCTCCGCGTCCTCAGCGTCTGGGTCTAGAACAGTCAGTAATGGAAAAGTTCCCCTCTTCACTGGTGTTTAAAGTCTGGGGCTTTTCTTTGGCAAATTTCTGTCTTGTAAGTCCTATCTGTATTCCATATAAATTCATAACGTATCTCACATTTTCCACCTAGATTTTTTAATGGGGATTTGAGAAATAGGAGCAGTGTGGATTTAAGTACAATACTTTTTTTTTCTATTTTTTTCCTTTCATATAGCCCCTTCAGACTCCTCCCTCCCTCTCACAGATATTTATCAGAAAGCATTGCTGTTAATAAACTCCCTATGACAGAGCAATCCAGAAACTGGAAAGAACTTCTACTAGGTGTTAACATCCACTGGCCTGCCTCTAACTACAGCTCAAACAAAAGGACTCTGATTTTACAGCTCTTTTGTTACTTTGTGTAATCACTTCTGCTGGAAAACAGTGAATCAGTTCTTAATTAAAAGCTGTGTTTTTCATTTTCAGGGACCCCACGGACTTCCTGGACCAAAGGTAATCCAACAAATCCCTTGGTTGCTGGATTTCTGTTTCCTTGTTAATCATGGAGCAGCATGACGGAAGCATGTCTGTCCTGTCTTATTTACTTGTCAAGAATGTTGATGATCTTTAAGCCTTTAAGTATCCAGATGTTTAGCTCTCACAACACAGAATGACTTAGAACAAATTTAAGCGATATCACCTGGAGAGGAATTATTCCTCATTTTGCCTTTTTTTCCTTGTCACTGCGTGAATTTCTTAAATCACTAATCATAATACACTCAAAACTAACCATTTAGAAGTAAATCTGATGAGATTCTCAGACCAGTCTGGATGCTTTCTTATCCATTACACATTTAGATGTTACTGATACTTCTTGCTTATCATATAGTAGCAGTACCTCATCAAAATGCTTTGACTGTCCAGCACCCTAATTCTGTACCTTCCTGGAGGTTACTGGCCTAGAAGGGAGCAAGGAGAATCAGGTGCGCTATACTGAGGAGATCACATCTCATGCTTTGAGACATACACATACACTCTGGATTAACAAGAGAGCAATGGAGAGTAGCCCCTCCTCTTTAGCATTAGCACAGCTTGTATTGTGAAGGTGGTCTCACCTGTTCTCTGTCTTCATGTGAACCAGGAGGACATCTTGGAGGATTAAAGTGAGCCCTGGAAGACAGTCTCCTTCTTCCAGGGAACATGTGTGATGATACCTCATCTCAGTTTTGTCCCTGACAGGCTGTGTCACCTTGGGCAGGTTAAGTACCCTGTCTGATCCTTTTTACTCAACTAGGTAACTTACCACATAGGGTTGTGATAATTTAGCAGCAAAATATCTGGTGCAGTTGTTGATAAGCACCCGATAAATGTCAGTTGTTTTGTTTTCTTGTGATTTGATGCTTTGTTCCGAACAGAAAAATTTAGCTAGTCCACAAGGTTGTTTGAGAGAAGGTTCAAGTTCTCTTGAAAGCTCCTCAGTAGTGAGTTGGTACATTTCAATGGTGAGGGGTGAGAGAGTACATACATGCAGTGTTGGTCCTAGGTATCAGAAGGGCAGCCCACCCTCTCCTCTGGAGGCTCCCTCGGGCTCACTCAGCTCTAGGGACGCAGAGTTATGGGTCTGACTCCAGAAATCCAAGTTTTCCCTTGGTCAGACAGGTGACTCACCCAAGTGTGGGAGGAGTCCATGCCTCTTTATTCTTTGTAGAATACCTCACCCTCTGGTAAGGCCAGTGAGTAACAGTGTCTCAGAATCATGGGTTACACTTTGGGGTAAGAGCATTTTTCTGTGGACCAGAAGAGAGAGCCTATCTACCTGTCGGCTTTGTGGTCTCAGTAGCCATCTAACCCCTCTGGGCCTCTTTTCCCACTCTTGGCTTCTCCTTGGATGTTAAGGCACCCCAAAGAGCAGCCCAGTCATAAAAACTCAGGCTAAAGCCATCAAGACCATGTTTTTAATTCCATGAGTGATTCAGTATCCCATTAACATTAAATTAATAAATTCCCAAGATTTTTTTGATATCTAAAATGCAATGATTTTTTTTTGCCTGCACTTAACTTTAATTGTACTTAAATCATAGACATCAGAGAATTTTTATAAAGTTTCAAAGACCCCATAGGCTATCTATGCTGGTTCCTTGATTGTACAGATGATGAACTATAGGCCCAGGAAATTTAGGTTATTTATCCTAAATTACACTGCTAATTAAATGACAGATATAGGACAGGAATTTAGGTCCCACATTGAAATTTGGTCTTTTTGCCACTGAATTAGATTGTTTATACATTCAGCTTCTCAATTAATGACTATTCCTATCAATGCGTGATTCCTCACCAAAGAATTTCACAGCCTTCCAAGGCTTTCCTGCCTATCCATCATCTCACGACCACTTGCTGAGAGACCACACACGTACAAAAGCCATGCATCTCAAGTTTAGACCAGTTAACTGAAGTTGACTATTGAGCCTTGGCCTTGACCTCGCATTAACTCTAGCTCTGTGACATCCCCAGGATCGAGCTTTACCAACCCGAGCACTTTTGGATTTCCCACAGCGGCAAGCACTGTGACCATCCTATCTTTAGAACCCAAAATTCAACTAGGTTGTGCCCACATGTGCCCATTACTTTGTGACCCCTCTAGAAGTTCAAATGTATACCATGGTTCTAAGGACCAGCTGTTTCCCAGAATTTCCTGATCAGAAGAATCACCAGGAAGCTTATTGTAAATCCACATTTCCTGTGCTACTAGGGTCCAGGTAGGGCCTTGGACTCCATGTTTACCCAGCACCCCACAGATTCCATCATCAGACAGATGGGGAAATACCAGCCTCCGGCCAGGTAGACCCAATCTCTCCCCACTCCCACCTGACCCAGAAAGACTCTATAGGGCTTTGAGACCTAAGTCATCTTTCTTTCAAGTCTCTCAACATTTTCTTGATAAATTTAATGTCTGTGCTTAAAAGTTGAAATGTGAAGCAATCAGAACTCTAGTTCTCACATGCTGCTGCTGATAGAAAATAGGTGCACTGTATTTTTAGATTTTTTTTAAAGAAAAGAGTCAACAAAATTTATCACTTCCCCTGGCTTTCGTCCTGTCACCCTAAGCTGAATGCAAACCTTCTTTATTCTAACATTGGGCAGACGAAATCACTACATGTAAGTTCTGTGATCTTCCTATTCTCTTCTGGGATTGGCTATTTGCTGTCTCCTCTATTGATTAATCCATGTAGGGACCTGACTTGGCAATGTCGGTGAATGAGGACTCACTAATGGCATTACTTCAAACATCAGCAGCTATATTTTTAGCTCATTCCCCTGGGCAAAATGCTTAAAGGCTTAAAATGTCTGTATATAACACTGTCCTGCATATTCCAGTTTTCCATTGCAGCAGAGTAGGTTTTTTATTGCTGAATCCCCTTCAGCATCCTCCCCTGTGATTGTCTTTGATTTGCTTGGTCAGAACAATCTGTCGTAGCCCCCATTTCCTTAGTACACAACTGAAAAATTCAGGACCTCAGTTATACGCATATATATTTTGATAGTAAAAAGCACACTTACTAGGCAGTTTGGTTTCCTAGAATATTATTTGTCAATTTCAGCTTGTTAACTTTTTAGTGTTTTAAAAATTAACACTGAACTGATACAAGACAAATCTAGCCTGACTCAGCTGTTTCCTAAAACTGGAATCTGCAACCATTTCAGAGACTGGCTCTCTTCTCTCACAGTTGAAACGCCCGTGATAGCAACCAAAATTGGCATTTGCTTTTGCATTTAGGGTGAACCAGGGTTAAATGGTGTTAAAGGATTGAAGGGTGAACCAGGTCAAAAGGGTGACAGAGGACCCCTTGGTCTTCCAGTAAGTAAAGACAATTTTCCATTTCAGTGCACATCTCAGACTTTCCTTCCTACCTTAAGTAACAACTCTGGTTTACTCAGCAACTACCTTATAGTTGAGATTTCTGTAACTGGAGAACGCCTTGAGCTAGTGCAGAGCTCAGCCCAGGTTTGCCTTCTGACGCCTGCTCCCTGTCAGAGGAAGACCCCATAGCACACAAAGCCGTAAGTGTTCTGTCCTTCAGTTGCACACATGCCAGCCTTCCTCTGGGAAAGCTGGCAGTTCTTCTCGCATCAGTCTCCTCTTTAAAAATACATTGTGCTGATAATTTCCCCAAACATTTTCATAATTTAGTGCGTTTTAAATTATTCTTCAATTCTCTTTTTCTCCTTCAATATGCAAAATGTAGTCCTTTGTTGGTGGCAGGTACGCAGTTGGCCCTTGTCGATGGCCTGAGGTCGGTGCTGCAGCTCCTCACATTAATCAGTCACGCTTGTGGTCTGAATGTTGTGTGTTGTTTGTTTTGGACATGCTCTCCTATGAGATTATTGCAGCACTCGTGGGGAGGACAAAAGTGCCGGTCTTCTTTCCACGACAACTAAAAAGAGATTTTTTTAAAAATGTGTATCGAATACGAGGTTTTTGTTTCAAGCTTTTACTACGATGTTTATTCAGTAAATGCTGGTAAAAGCCAATAAAAACATTATAGATCACATTATTAAAATATGACATAAAATTGGTAGCAGGAAATAGTTTACACACATTTTACATATAAAAAATTGATGGCCGCTTATTTTATTAAGATACTGTATCTTGAGCATTCTAGTTGATAACCAGTGCCTTATATAAACCAGGCATGTGAAAGATGCTCAATAGATATTCATTTATGGAATAAGTGATATAAGCCTTGTGTTAGAGCACAGGTCCAATCACACCAATTAGATCAATGGACATCAGGCATCAAAGCTCTATAACATATGTAAGTTATTAAATCACATTCCAGGTAAATATATTATCGGTACAAAAATTTTGCCATCTCCTTACTGGTTTTTAAATGTTGTAATAGTGATGACTCTAAAAAAAAAGTACCAAAAGGCAAAAGAAAATTTGGCCTTTTTCATTTAAGCCCTTAATCTGATTTTTTAAAAGTTTGCCCTAATTTCAAATTTAGGGATGTAATAAGTTTCATACAACATTTAGCAGAGAACTCTACATGTGCTAGCATTAAACAAACAGCAACACACTGTTAAAAAAATTTTAATCATTGCTAACTAAAGATGTATTTTGCAGTTATAGTCTGACTCAGAGTTATAAAGAAGGAATTATAAAATGGGATCGAAAATTACTCAAAATATATGTGGTGCAGCATCATTGGTAGAGTTTCCAGCTGGAATAGATGCTTTCCCTTCATTTTGTATTATTGAGTACATCTCAAGCACAAAGTGGGAAAATAGTTCTGCAACCTTGCCAAGAGAATTTATAGGGCAAGTGCATTATCTTTCCTAAATACTCCTTGATTACTAGATAATCGATATTTTTAAATGACTATAAGTAAATATTTGAGTTTCAATATGCAACTCATTGTTACATTGAGTTTCAGTGTAACTTAATATTTGAGGTACAAGGAGTAATTGTGCTTATTCTTGAAATAAGCATGGACAATGTCACCTTTCAATCACGCCCTGGGCACAGCCTCCAGCCCGGGGCGCGGAGAAGCGTGCATTACTGAGCACAGCATTGGTGTTTAAAGCGCTTCCCTTCACACTTCGATGCAATGTTTATTTGAAGTGAACTGAGGAACAGTTTTGTTTGAAGTAGTTATTTTTTATTTGGACTCATGAACTATTTCTGGCTTTTTTCTTGTTCCTGGAAGTCCCTCTAGTGGTGGCTAATGTGAACACAGTTAAGGACAAACCAGAAAACATTGACCATTGTTCATGTAAAATCCAGGCTCATTTGGCAGGTTCAAGTTCTGCATTTGTTATTCATAAATGCTATTTTAACAAGCAAAACTAGAGCTCTTTTCCTCTCCTCTGAAATGATAACCTTGATTGATTATTATAATGATCCCTTTCTTAGGAGATTGGCCATTATTTTTCCTTCAGAACTTAAAAAAAATATTGTGAATAGTACAGTCTTTAGAAAATGAATTTCATATGTATGTCAGCAGCCTGTGACAGTTACTGATTACCTACTTTAAAGTCCACTCTATAAATCTCATTAACTTGATTTCTAAATAAGAATTTGTCAAATGGAATTGTCATTAAAATGCCATTGTCTGTGGGGGTGTTTATTGTCCTGTGTTTTGTTTTTTTTTTAACTAACAATTTGTAGCAATGTGATATTCATCCCAGAGCCCTGTGACTGGGTATTATGTTGTTTGAAGTTTTACACTTGTTCATTGGTACCTCATACTAATCTCTGTTCTTGTCATTCGTGTTACACCCACCAACCCTGCTACCAACCAAATCACACAGGGAGCATCTGGCTTAGACGGAAAGCCAGGAGCCCGGGTGAGTCAGTGCCTCGTCTTGCTCCAGCGCGTTCGTGGCTATGAATTCTGTGCTTCAGGACAGACCCTTTTCACTCACGTGCTCTCATTAAAAGATGAGGGTGCAGGGTGCCTAGGACTGGGGTGAAACTCGAAGGTGGACAAGGATAGAGGCAGGAAAGGGAAGGTGAACAGGGCCTGGGCTGCAGCTCTGTTAGTCGCACAGCCTTGCCTACAGAGCACGGAATTCAGGTTTGGACTGCTTGCTGGGGGACAAGAACGTCCACTCTAACTGCCATCACTGTCTTAGATCCTGACAGATTTTTCCATAACCAATGGACATTTCCTGTAATTCCATGACAGAGGCCCTCTGAAGGGATTCAAATCATGTGAATTAATTTTAACTTGCTTTTCCTTTTATGTTTATGTTTATTTAGAAACGTAACCTCTTCATTGGAACTAACTTTCAGATCTTTGTTCATCAAAATGACTTGTCTGTCTTGTCATTTTGTCTCTTTTCTTTGGCTCTTAACAGCTCCATCTCTTAAATTTCAGGCACAGATACTCAGTATTTGCAAGTCTTCTGAAGGTGAACACTGAGTTCAGATAGTAAAAGATCAGTTTAAGATGATGAGAATTCACCTACATTAGACTGAATATAAAACCCTGAATTATTCCAGATCACAAGGCTCTATCAGAATAAACAAGAACAGAAGAGAAATAAAGAACACTACAAAACTTGTTCTGAATAGTTTCATTTTCAAATTCTGTAATAAATTCTTTGCCAATCTAAGTACAGTCTTCCAGAACATGAGCAAATATATTGAAGTCCTTGCTACAGTTTTAAGAATCAAAGAGAGACTTCAGCTCTTCCATTCTAAAACCCTTCTTCAGGCTTTCAGCTTCAGGCAGTCATTGTTTTTCCTGGACCTCGGTGTTCCTGTGTTCGCTCAGATGTCCTCTCATCTGCCGCAGAAATCCTAATCCTAAACAGGAGGCCAGAAGGCAATTATGCTGTTAAAGCATCAGCTGCCTGGTTTATGCCTCGTAAGCCTGGTGACTTTGGCCACCACAAAAGAACCTGTGAGAATAATTCCTTCCCTCTAAGCCCCCCGCTGCTCCCAACAGAGCTGAAGAAAGTTTGGTTTGAACACTGTTCTCATTTGTTTAATTCTTTTCCACTTGTGTAACTGTTCAAGCCTCTTAAATGGCCAAATACAAGGCTTCAGAGCATCGGTGGCCAAAGAAGTGGGGGTGACGTTGGGGTGGAGAATGAATGAGAAACTAGAGGTGATAGGAAGGAAAAACTATTTTTTTTAAGATTATGGGGGCAAAGCGAAGAGGTTCCATTAGTCAGGGAGGAAATATATAATGAAGTATGATATACAGCTTTTTGTGTGTGCCCTTCATTGACATCTACAGTTATATAATTCATCCCTTTTTGCATGAGTTTCCTGAAAACTACTGGCTGAAAGAATCGAGTACAAAGCTCTTGGCAAGATGAGTTGTCTTTCTGACATTCTCAGGCGCCATTCACTCAGGAAAGGTCCAGGATAAATGACAGCTGCCTTTCTGATAGCCCTTGGGATATGTCTCATATTATCTTATTTTTATCTTTCTTTTAGGGTACAGATGGCCCTATGGGACCCCATGGCCCTGCAGGTCCCAAAGGAGAGAGAGTAAGTTGCTCCTGAAGTTTCTAAGCTGTGACCTATGTGTCGCCTTTTCATTTTACTTGAACTGAACTGTTCATTTCCCAGGAGAAACAAAGAGCCATCTAATATTCAGTGAAAATAGATATCATCTTAAGTTCTATTCAGAGCCATCACACTGAGAGAACAGCAGAGTATCAATGTGGAATATGGCGGCCTTATAGAAAACAATGCATACATTTACATAGCTAAATAAATAGCTCAGACCATTCCTTCTAAACCCATAAGGAAGATATTTTTATTTGGCCTTAATCCAGTAAATAGAAGTCAATGGGGCTAAAATGTCCAGGACTACATATTCTGGTTGATAATCTTTTATATAAAACTACTGTATTCATTGAGAGTAAGGCATAACATTTTTTAAAGAAAAATTTTTAAAGAAATTTTTTAAAGAAAATGACAAAACCTAAGTATTCTCCTCCACACAGTTACACATGCTCCTGTTTGCAGAAAAAAAAAGGGGGGGGAGAAGAAGAAAGAAAGAAAGAATAGCCTGTCTTTCTTTAGCCATACGGAAATAATTTCAGTGCATTATAAAACAAAAACCTTTCACTAACCTCTCTATTGCTAGGCCATGTTTCCATATCCTTGGGAAAAAAAAAAAGACAGAGCAGAAGATAAATATCCAATACAAAAAAATGTGCTGCCGCCTCAGCAGCTGGTTGTCTGTCTGGAACTTCTCTCCCTCTTTCTTTGTCTTCTCCCACTTTTTCTTTTCCTCACATTGCAAGACTTAGAAGTATTTGTGTGTCTGAGTAGAACTGTGTTACCAGTTTCCTCACCATCCCATGATGGGATGTAAAGAAAGTATCCTAATAGTGAGGGCTTCAAAATGTTGGAATAATTCATTGTTCAAGTTTCTGGTCTTTCAAAGCTAGATGGAGTTTCATCGATGTGTGATAATTTGCTTTAAAATAGAGGGCTTACCTAGTGATTTCTTTGGCATACACCCGAAGTCCATGTTCTATAAATTGAATTCACTCATTTGGTAAATATTTATCACATGTTACAATGTACAAAACTTCTAGTGGGAAAGAGAAACACTCTCCTCCCTTTTATGTAAAGTCTATTTTGCTCCAGTGAATTGAATAGCATTATAGTTAATTCTTCATCCTATAATCGTTTACTACTACACTATATATATTTATTCAATGCTATAAAGGAAACAGCTGTTTGCCCTGATCTAGAAGAGTTTACAACCTAACTGCACAGGAAAAAAATTATGCAAAAAAACAAAACAAAACAGATAATGAGGCCAAAGTGAACACAAATAGGTACAGGTAGACCACACAGCAATGAGGAAGGCTGGCTTCGTCTGAGAGTGCCTCTAGAAGGAGGTGAGTCTTAAAGGAATATATAATCTGATCCTTATTTGATCTTATTTCTAAGATCGAGCCAATGACTTATGAAGATCGTTGTAATTAAAAATATTTAAAAGCGAAGAGTCTCCAGTGCTGAACCATTCAAGCACTGTATCAAGAAATTCAGTACATGTACTAAAAATGGAGCAGCAAATCTCAAGTAATCTTTTGGCAGAATGCCCTGAGGCTCAGGAGAGTTTACCATTTGGTAAATCAGCTGCTACTTCCGATAGCTCTGCAGTGTCACAAGAGTATCAGGTCTCGGCCCTGGGGCAGAATTAACCAGGAGAGCAAATGAAATCTCTAAGAATTTTTGATGGCATAGTTTAAGTCAAATGGTGTGCAGTGTGAAGTGTTACACTTGTATTTACTCAGCACGTTAACTATCTCAGCTGGATCATGTATCAGTGCTCTCTAAGTGCCCCTCACCCCAAGTGCTGGACCCAGTGTGATTCTCAGTGGTAATTGATTGAGGCACCACCCGGACTTTCTTGAAAAGTTTCCCATTTTAAAGCGGGAGGAATCAGGAAAGGGGGCCATTCTAGAACAATCCCTTGGTGTAGACATGCAAATTAAAGAGCCTGAATATAATTAGACCAGCTAAAGGAAACCAGGCACTTGATAGGCCATTTTATCCAGAAATGGTCAAACACATGATGGACACCTTTAGTGTTCAGTCTTCAAGCACCTGGTGGTTCTTGCCTCCAGTTGGTTTCCTCATCTAGCCTTGTAACTAACTGCCTAGGAACTGTGTAGAGGATGTTAAATTTGAGGTTCAAAAAGCTTTGGAATTATTTAATCCAGGAAAAGAAGTTGCACATTCCAATCCCCGTGTCAATATTTCACCCCTGAAAGTTTTCAAGCTGGGGCCATTAGGATGCCTTTAGCTCTAAGTGACAGAACCGCAGCAAAAATGCCTTAAACGATAAAGACATTTATTGTTACGTGTAACAAAATGTTCAAAGGAGGGACTCTCAGCTTTGCTTCTGTGCTCTTTCCGCATGCTGCCTTTGTCTTCGGACCGCTGGTGGGTTGGTGGCGGTGGCTGTAAACCCCCGCTCCCACTCCCGGAGGGCAGTGCAGAGAGCACCCAGAGCCCTCCTCCTCCTGGCCTGGAGCGAGGAGCCCTCCCCATGGCTCCCCAGCCGACGCCTCCCACACCTTGTATCCGCTTCTGAAGTCCCCACTGGCGAAGGAAATGGGATGGTCATTGTTAGATGAAAGTCATTGTTTGGGGTGGGCGTTTCTATCAGAGAAGTTCCACAGACAAATATTTTAGTGACATTTGTCACTTAATTCAAATAAGCCATGGTATGTTCATTTTTAAAACAAAATAAAGCCAGTGTACTCAATCAAAGCAGGGAATAGGTATACAAATATAATATGTGGAGATTTTTTCAAATTAAATCTAGTCTAATCTGTCAAGTTTTTTAAATCAGATCTCCTCCAGGTTATCAGAACCCTCCTTCAAAACCCCCACCTCCCACCACTCCCACACACACATCCACGACCACCTTGTAAAGACCATAAAGAACACTGCCAGTTCAAGGCAAAATGAATTTATTTTGAATTAAGTGACCTTTGAGTTGCCAAGCCCATTTTAATCAAACATAAGACCTCTAAATTGTATAATAATGATGATGATAGCTACTATGTATGGGACATATTACTTGGCAACGATAAATTTCATATTTTATCATCACATTTGTCTTCCAAAAAATTCTTTTTACAGCCATTGAAATTCAGGCACAGAAAAGTTAAGAAAGTTACCTAAGGTCATGCAGCCAGTGAGTGGCAGAGCTGTAAATCAGATTTAAGCATTGTCCCCAAAGCCTGGACTTTCCTGAAGACAATTGCTGCTCCTTCAGTAATAAACATAAAGTTTAAAAGCATTTATCATGTTTATTTTCAGTAGGCTCCCTATTCCTTATATGCTTCTAGGTGGCAGTGCCAGCTAGATCCACCAATCCCTAAAGTTTGAGTAAAGAATGGTAGTGGAGACTTGAAATGAGGTCCGAAGGGAATCTGGAGCACAGGGAAACACAACAACGTACTTGGACCTTCACGCACAGTTATTAACTGAACTTGGCATTTTACCCATGAAAAAAAATTGCTAGCCTTTAAACTTCTTCAGGGGTGTGATAAAAGAAGGTAACATTTTCTGTCTGGCCACTCATGTAAACAGCACGTGGGTCCTGAGGTGTTCACGCTAAGTCCTGACAAACACATTAATGCTGGAGATGGTGGCAGAGGGGAACTCTGCTCGAAATGCAGAACACCTCTTTCTCTGTCATCACAGCTATATTTCATATTCATGGGACCACCTCCAGTTGCATTTATTCTTTAGAAGCATTCAAGATTGACATTTAAGCCAAGGCATGCTATCCTACTTAACTAGGCACATGGAGAGACAGCCATGAAGGTTACCAGGTACTTAGTAGAAGACATAAAAGTTTTTAAACCCTCTTTTTCAGAAAAGAAGCTGAATAGATACATGGTTATATTAATGTGATTTGATTTATTAATTAACAGATATTTACTGATATCTGTAGGCCATGGGGGCGCCTCAGGGAACAAGCCAGAGGCCCTGGCCCCCGAGTGTGAATATCCCAGTGATGAGCTCGGTGAAGAATACTCAGGTTATAACCTGCATATGTCTCCCTGCATGTGCCATGTGAGCTCAAGAAGGCCTGGGTGGTCAGGGGAGGCCTTGCTGAGGAAGAGACGTTTGACAGAAAGAAAAAAAAAGGACATTTTATTCTTATAGTTTTAAAAAAGTAGTAGCTAAAAGTAATTAATAACAAATAAATGTTTCACACTAGTGCCAAAATAACCCAAGTACAGCATGCTAGATATGCTGGTCCCTTTGCACAGCCAGCCCCTCTTGCCAAAGTGATTTAGTAAAGTAGTCTAATGTAGATGATTTTTACTGTTTCATTGGCAGTGACTCTGAAAGAGCCTGAATCTTTGGAATTTTGATAGACTGACTCTTCAGATAGAGGCTTTGTACACAGGCCTTTAGGGCGCATGTGTGAATATTGGTGTTTGGGTATGATGTGAACTTTCTGCCTTTCATTTTAGGGTGAAAAAGGAGCTGTAGGGGAGCCGGGACCCAGAGGACCCTATGGTCTGCCTGTGAGTTCTCCGTCTTTGTGCGCTTCCCCTTTACTGCACAGATGGCCTGTCACTGGCACGGTTAACCCTCCTCCCCTCACAGAGCCAACTAATCACCTTACAGGGGCAACGAGAAGTCCCCTAATTCTCTACAACCCCAATGTCACCCTGCCCCCAGAGATGGGTCATATTCATATCGCATTCTCCCACTCATGTGCAGACGCACACCCCTGCCCTTCACAAGACTGAGAAGATCGGAGCTTGTCCACGAGACCAACAGTTCTGACCCAAAGGCAGGAGGCCCACTGTCTGATGACACGTCCCTGGGCCATCTGAGTGCTCGCCCCTAACTGGCACTTCTTTGGGAGGTCACTCTACCAAAAGTGGCTTGTAGAAGCTTTAATTAAGAAATTTCCTGCAGACTTGGCCTGTTCTCATAGGATACTCACTAAGACTACTCTTATAAGAAAAGTTATTTCTCAAATTGATGCTTATGATGCCTTTGATATCTCTGGTCCCTTTAAGTCACTGTGATGACAATAGATCTTCGGAACATAAAATGTGGAGAATGTTCTGTCTTCTAAAAATTCTCAATTACACAGACTTCTAATTGAGGCCTCAGGTCTGCTTCAGAACATTATCTTTCTTATACTCATAAATGACTCCATAGGGTAGGGAAGGACTACAGTAGAACCATATGAAGAACTGTATTAAGGTTTATGCTGTGTACCTTCCACATACCTTGTATTTTCAGTTTTTGTGAAGTGATAGAATAAACCATAATTACTTCAGTGCTAAAAGAGAGGCTGATTTTAAAATAGATTTCAAGTGAAGGCTGATTTTGAAATAGAGTTCAGCTGACAAAATTAAAGCACCCTCTCGGTAACTTTGGGTGAACCCGGTGTTGACGTGACGGGGTCACCGCCCAGCGATCCATGCCCTGGGAACGCATGTGCCGCCCTGCAACAACAGTCTATGACTCCTTTCACATCTGGGGATCGTGTGTTCGCAAAGCTTGCTTAAAAACAGTGTCTGAGTTGTGATCCTTACACCCTCAATATTTGCAGACAAGGTACACATCTAGCCAAATTCAAACTTTAACAGTAAAGTTGCCACCTTTTTAACTCATTTACAAGCTAACTACTAAGTTATCAAATTAAAGCAGCAATGACTTGCATACTTTATAAGTGCTGGTGTGTTTTTAAATCAACTAAACTATTTTCATCTTTCTCCTGGATTGATGACTTAGATACCAAGCATTCAACTTCAGCAAAATAACAAATTATTTAACCCGATATATAAGAAAAACTTGTCATGACTCGTAACAGCAACATTAACGGTCACTTCACTTGATTTAGTGAAAGAAATGTATATTACTAATCAGTAGAGAATCTTTTTCACCTTTTTGAAGTAGCTCTAACACTAGTGTTGCATGTCCAGGCAGCCTTCAATAGAACAATAACCTGTTCATGAAACCTAGGAACACTAATGTAGCTACTGTGGTTCTTTGGCAGGGGAAAGATGGAGAGCCTGGTCTTGATGTAAGTAATACATGCAATGAACATCTTCCTATTATAGTAGATTCTGATGGTCTCCATCATCGATAACAACAAGAATACTTCTTATTATTTCTGTGCACATAGTTATGTATAAAATATCCATTGCTGTGCATATAAACAGCAACATAAAATACACTGGAAGTATTTGCATAAATTAAACATAAAAGAAAAATAACAATTGTCTAGTACAAAATTAATAACAGATAGTTGATACTGCCAGTTCAAAATACTTTCCCAAACTAGGGACACTCTCAACATTTGCAGTTGAACCACTTACTTTAAAATATGCATAAAATTGAAGTACCTTTCACACACCACCCTTAGGTAATGGTGTATTATATCTATTGTCAAAGCTCTAATGCAATATTTTTTCCTTTAGCATAAAGCCCCTCTATATCTTATAAATACAGAGAATCTCAAAAGTAAATGCCTCTTGAAATGAGCACTGCTTGTCCCGTATTGTGTGAATAATAGCAATAGCAAAAATAATAGTAGTTACTGTTTATTGAGCACCTGGTATGTGCAGACATAATTCTAGTACTTTATATCATTGCATTCAATACTCACACCAACAGTTGTGCAGTAAATATCATCAATCCCATTTTGCGGACATGGAACTAACATGCTGAGGTAAGTGATTTGCACAAGGCCACACAGAGCGGTGAACTTGCCAGGATCCAAACTAGGACCCTGATATTCTCTCCACTGGACATTTCCTGGAAAGAATCCTATAGTATGTAGATAATTGACATGTTAGTAAACTATTATTTCTAAGTTCTGCTTTACCTAAGTTTTGAGATTGTTGGGCTTGCCATTTTTCTTTATATCTACATTGAAAAACGTGAAATTTTACATTTATTTTTTTTGAATTCGGTGTTGCCACAGTTACATCAGCAGATTTCCTTGGTTTGCTTTTTACCCTACAGGGCTTCCCTGGTTCACGTGGCGAGAAGGGTGACCTAGGAGAAAAGGGAGAAAAGGTGACCCCTCCGTCCCAGCACGTGCCTGCTTGGTTTTTCTCATGCTGTCTGCTTTGCTGTTCAACCCGTGTGATCCTTTCCTACATTAAATCTCTCTCCATCCTGTGCTCCAAAAACACACCAATGCTTGATCTAAGACATCAGGTCTTCACAGCAGAATGAAGAAGGCTGTACCACTGAACATGAGAGCACTGATAAGAGCACTGAACATAAGAGTATAGAAGAAAAACATTATAATCCCCAGATAGCCAGGCTACAATTTTTCAACTACCTGACACCAATGTGTTGAAAGATGTAATGTTCAGGGACTCTTGAAAATGAAAAAAAAAAGCATTTATTACACATTAACAGGAACTGAAATAGCACAAATCTGTAGTGGTTTTCTGGCAGAGTTCACCTAACACGGTAAAGCCCACACCTCAATTACCCTCACAATGTTTCCAGTGAAGAAACAGAAGATAGGCTCTGTATCTGGATTTTTTTTATTGGAAAATAGAAGCAGTGTGACTGATAAACCCCAGCGAGCCCGCGAGGCAGGGTCCAGGGCTTGCCGCTGTCAGCTGCTGCAGATGTTTCTGATGAAGGTGCTGGTGTATTTTATGAGGTCATGTTTAGGTTCTGTCTCAGGACCGTCAGCTCCAGGGCACACAGGAGCCAAAATCAAGCAAAATGGTTTCATGTCTGAAAGCAAAAGTTAGATTATGGATTTTTTAAATCACTATTTTCTTTCCTCTCCCCTTTGCTTAGATCTTTGAAGAATCATTTTTTTTACACTGCAAAAGAAGCAAACAAAAACTGAGCACCTCAATGGAATAGCGAAAATCATAAAATGGCTGAAATGATACTTTCACAGTTCAAATTTACACCAATTATAGTTCTCAGATTCAGTCGCATCCTGATCTACTTGACAGCACATTGTTTTCTTCAACAGTGCAATTTTCAGAACTTCGTTGTAAATTTTCACTAACAGTGAAGTTCACAGCTGTTGAAAACCAAGGCTGAATGAGAGTTGTCAAAGAAAGGGCCGTGTGCTCCACGGCCTTCAACCTCACTTACCTTCCACTGGTAAGAGAGCTCCTGTCCACGCTTACGTAAGAGCACCACCACCACCACCGTCATCAATATCATTACATTTATTGAGTACTTAGTGTTTTCCCAAAAGCTTTACATAGGATGAATCTTTTAATCCTGATAACAACCCCCTAAGGTTGGTGCTATTTTGTGCCCATTTCACAGACAAGGAAACTGAGGCAAAAATCTTTTTTTATTCTGAATAATAAATTCTTACTATAAAATATAAATATTTAGAGGGAAATCATGTAGTTTAGCTCAAGGCAATTGTGCTGTAAAGATTATAGACTTTATATTTACCTAATGGGTTATGTGAGTCTAAAACCTTACTCAAAAATATGTCACTATTATGAGGATATTAATTTTTAATGCTCTTTTAAACACAGAAGAAATTACCAGGATTGTAACTTATAAAAACATTAAGCTGCAAATTTAACCCTCAGAGTAATGTTAGTCACCCATACAAAACATTTCCATGTTTCAGATTCCATATGTAGAAGTTTTGTGTTCAGGAAAATTACATTCTAGATGTGAACACTTTGAGTTTGTACATCACTCTGTCACGGGAGATAAATACAGAGGAGCCCTCATGCGCTCACTCCCACAAGGACAGATGGTTTTGTGTTATGTAGGGCATCCCTGTTACAAAACTATGCTGATTAGCAATAACACTGATATATTATTCCTTGTATATAATACTGTTTTCCGTAAAGTTTACCAAATTATATTACTGAAAAATTATTCCTATAGCCTGTTCGCTCAACATTCGTATGACAACACTCTTTTGCTGAATTATTAATGAGTTGATTTACCAATGAAGTGAATTCTAAATTAATAACATCTAACACACCTGGTGTCAGTCACGCCCACATGAAGAAGAGTCCACTTCGTCCTGAGAGAAAAGAGCTCAAACAAACAAGGTTAAATCAGTTTTATGTCATGGCCCTGAACTTATTTGCTGAAGAAGGATGTTTATTCATCTTGCATGAGTGAGCAATTTGCTTCTGAATGTGTCTCCCATCTCCCCTCCCACCGCACTTGCCGCCATTCCGCAAAGACCTGGCTTCTCAGGTCTTTGTCTTTAATCGTGATCAACAAAACACAGAATTTCTCTTTTCCCAGTATGAAAGAAGCCCAAGTGTTTCTGATTCTGAGCCTTCTGATGCAATCTTTTTGGCACACAGGAGATAAATGAGGAGTTTTTGCTCACACAGTCAGAATGAATACATTCATTTGAATGCACATCTCATATACTTCTGTTATGTGTATGTCTTTTCACTTTGACTATTCATGTTGTTTTGCTTCTGAAATTATTCAGTTTTATCGTAACTGCCATCCTGATTGCAAAATGACTATGCTGATTTAAATATGTATTGTATTTTGTATTCTGTACTCACCAACTTCTTGTCTATAAATATGCAGATATTTATGTTAATGTAAAACAGCTGAGGTGCATTCCTTCCTTCTCCTTTTGCCTCCTTTCCTAAATTCCTCCATCCCTCTGATCCATGCAGATTTCCACAACCTTTACCTTGATTCCTAATACTAATTTCCATGGCTACATTCCCACTATGTAATTATCCCGCCTACCTCATTTTTAGTGTTAGCTCAACTGAGTCCAAACTGCTTTTTCTCTCCTGACCACAATTTTTTTTTTTTAGTATTTGTAAGTAAGCTGGAAACCCATTTACCATTGTGAACACCTGGCATGAGATCGATAAGAGTGAATTAAAGAAGATCCCTGGGTTTACAAATAAGTCTGTTTCTCCAATTGGTATTACTGAGAAGTATTAGCACTTTTAAAATTTATTTACCTGACTTAATAAGGAAAATATTTGCTCTTCAGTTCCCTGAAAAAAATGTTAAAAGAAATAAAAGCGTATTTAAATACATTGAATAATTTTTAATGAGAGTTACAAAAAAAATAGTCACTATATTTCAAAAAGGTCGAAGCTGTTAATGTTCTTTTCCTCTGGCTCCATGAAGTTTTCATCCATTATAGGATTAGGAAAAGAAACAAGTTGACAGGTATTGAAAATTGGGCAAAGTATCCATTAGTCCTCTGAACTTCACCTGCCGCTGGCTGGCTTCAGCACAGCTGGCATCTGTCACACACCCCACACTCCCCAGATCCATGGCAGAAACACCTCTCGCAAAAGGACGGCTGCACTGGGTTCTGTGTTAGCACTGATGCTCCTTTCCTATGGGTTGGCCTCTTAGGTCTCCTGTCATCTCCCTGAGAATCGTAAATACAATGCCACGTGTTGCTGCCCAGAATCCGGTCACTCTGTCATTTTTATAATATCATGCCTTACCTAAACCGGTGGTAAATGCCCTTCCAGATTTTATTGGCTAAATCATGTTTTGAATCACCATTATCCGCTCCCCCAATAAAGCCTGTCTTTTATTTAAACCCTTGTATCCACAGGGGGAAAAGGGAAAGAAAGGCAAAAAGGGGCCTAAAGGGGAGAAAGGAGAACAGGGTGCTCCTGGATTAGATGCACCTTGCCCGTTGGTATGTCTGACTCATGGAACTCTGTCTCCAGATGTCTTGTGTGGAGGGATAAGCTGGGAGAGGAGCAAGCTGGAGGGACCTGTAACAGCAGGGGTTCTGGATGGGGTCATTTCACATACATTTCAAAGTACCAGGAGTGTCCATCTGGGTTATCCTGATAGGGTCCACACCTTGTCTCTGGCCACCAGCTCTGCCTGGTTTCTTAACACTCAAGTATTGATCCAGTGTGAATGTCTATGATCTGAAGAGGAACTGACCTGATTCCGTGCTTCTCAGAAACAGGGCGTGGCTCCCAGACAAGCCCTCCTCGTTGGTGAAGCTCTGGCCAACCTCACTGCATGTGACCTTTCTCTTCAGAGTTGCTCCTCTCCCAGCCTTTTCTTATTGTGTTTATTTCTTTAGCAGAATTTGTATGTAAATGATTTCTTGTTAGTAACATTATGAGTTAATCTTTACAAACAGGGATTCCGTGGCATTAAGGGGGAAAAAGGGGAGCCAGGCCAGCCTGGCCTGGATGGGCTGGATGCCCCTTGCCAATTGGTACAGTATTTCTCTTTCCTACCTCCCTGCATGCAGTTCCTTTGCTTATTACATATTCATCTCTATTGGTGTAAAGTGGTGCTTCTGGACCAAGCTTTACATGATAAACACACTACATGCATGTGCATGAACAGCTCCTTCAGCAACTCTGCCGAGTGAAGAGAGCAAGCATGCATTTCTATCAGTGGCTGCAAATTAATCTCCTAACCTTGTTCTCACAACTGGCGTGACTACCATGTCTGCCTTCTGGGGATATTAATTTACTCAATAAATATTTAAAGGTTACATTAAAGTATATGAAAAGCTTCTGTGTAAAGGCACAGCTAAACCATAACTATGGGTGTTACTCCTACATTGAACTTTTTTTTCTTTTCCTATAAAGGAAGTAAAGGCATTTTTGCCTCTTCCACTAAATTTCTGTCAGGTTGAAAATAAGGCCAAGCCTACAGAGTTAAGCTTCTGCGGTCGAGACTTAGCCATTTCTAGGGTGCCGTTAGGAGACCATGGGGAAGTAAGCCAAGCTTCTTTGAGCTTCTAAAGATGACAGTAGTCTACAGCCCAAACCCTCTTCTTTGTCACATAACCTCCTCGATTTAATGGTCTCTCCTTTTGAAACTCACTTTCCTAAAAATAGACAGAACTCCCTTATCTCCATCGGCATGAACTCAAAATCCTCCTTATACTAAAATCTAAAATTCTACTGGGTGATCCTTCTCCTTGTACCAATCTGGCATTACCGAATTTTTCCCAAGTGTCTTATAAAGCTATTTCAAAGTGAGCTTTTTTATATTTTTTAAAAAGTATGTTAATATATTCTGAGGTATAACAGAAAACATTTTATGGTTGTGTTGATGGTTATACTTGGTCTGCATGTTCTTATATTATTTTTTAGTGCTAAGCATGATTCTATAAAGATAACTTTATGTATCTCATGTCCTGTAAGAGATTATATTTATAGAAAAAAAATTTCAGCTCATAATTGCAATTAGAAAATATCAATATGAAGTGCACAGTCTTTTATTTTGTTTGCTTGGTAATAATATTTTACAATCACTTTGTGGGAAGAAACTATAAGCATGCCTCATCATATACCAACTCTTCCTCCTTTTTCGTATCATTTGTATCTGAAGAGTATTTATGCTTTAAATAAAAATAAATTTGCGACAAAATTTGCAACATTTAGGAATCCCTTGTTTATTCAGAATTTGTTAACTGGCTTCTGAGAATTTTTAATAGAAAAATTGAATGCCATGGATAACATTTTACTGTAAAGATATAGATAGGCTGCCTATGTTTTAATTCAATTGATTAAATATATTCTACTACATCTATTTTCAATATAGAAAAGTGAAAAATAATGTGTGAAAAGCTATAAACTTCAGATAGAAATGGTTCATCATTGATTATTCATCATTATCGTGCATTCAACCATAGACCATAGTGACCAGGAAGTGAAGTTATTTCTGTTTATTTAATAAAAAGAATTGTGAAATGTGTTTTAATAATTAAGAGAAATAATACAGAATGTTTATCTAAAGATAGAACTGAGTAGACCACCATGCTTTGTAAATTACTTTTTCCAAATTAGGCTTATTTTTTTCTATGCTTTATGGGTTTTCGAAATGTATACTCTCCAGAAAAACATGAATTTCTTCAGTTTTACTCATGTTGGGTATTCTATTGGAAGATGTTATAATTAGAAAAAGATTCCTATGACTAAAGCTACCTAATGAGTAGAAATCCATTTTTAAGCTTCTGAGCATGTGAATTATGAAGTATGATCACTTTTGTGGAGCCTGAGGAATTGTTATCCTTCTCTTTAAAACAGGGGCCAGATGGATTACCCATGCCTGGCTGTTGGCAGAAGGTAGGCTTTATGGAATTTTTCTAAAAGAAGCACGCTCTCTTTCTCTTCACCTGGCCTAGCCTTTTCCATTTAGAGCAGAGCTTTTGAATTTGACATTGCTAAAAGTTTGTTGGATATTAAAAAGCAAAAGATTCCATCTCCAGAATACTTTTGATTATTATGTTTACTACTGATTTCTTCCTAAACTGATCAGTGAAAACAGTTCTTAGTAAGCATTGTGATTTGGAACCTTCCCTGTCTAATCTTTTCTTTGGATGGAAAGGGGCAGGCAGTGCATGTTCATAATGGTTTACTTGTCTCTCAATGAGCTCCTTATCCTCCTACTAGTGAAAACTATTCTTAATTATGATTTTTTCTGTTTATACTCAATTACTTAGGCAAACATGCAAATACATGGTAGAACCCTGTCATATTAGTCACAAAGCTGAGAAAGCAGAAAATGTAAGCATGATATTTTTCTTCAACAATATCCTGATATTCTAGCCTCTTTATATGGCTACCCATGGCCACTGTGTAGGAAGGGAACTTTTCCTTAACAGAGAAACTTCTATGTGATCACATAGCCCTTTCATATATGGGGTGTCATTTTAGTTAATCCTCACAATAACTCCATGGAGTGTCATCCTCCATGATTCTGATGAAGAAGCTGAAATTCAGAGCAGTTAAAAAATGCCCAAGGCCCAGAGCTAATAAGCAACAGAGCTAGCACTGGACGGGGGAAAGCAACGACAGAATTTGCAGCAGGGAAGAGCTGGGTCTGTGCTGTGCTGAGGGGGTTCCGAACCCCTACACAACCACGCTGTGGACCTGTGCAGGGCTGTGCGGGCATGCTACTAAAGAGCAAAGGAACTCCACTGGTGTAAAACTGAGCTAGGGGAAGTGTGCATGCTCCTTTGATCATTTTGAAATTTATTCTCTAAAACCTTGTGGCTTATTCAGTAACTCTTTACAGACATGTTTCATCAGCAAAATTATTCAAAACTATGTAGGACTGCAGAAAGATGAAGGGAAACTTGACTCTCCTGGTTTCATCTTAGCTCATCAACTACATTGGTGAGATCCTATGTGACTCACTCTCTTGCTTAAACCACGCTTACCCTGCTTGACCAGGGAAAGAAACACCTTCCTTCTTTCTCAGCAGCGTCATTTATTTAGTAGCTTCCCAAACTCCACTTTCAGCCTGTCAGATAATTATCTCAATCACATCTGAAGTCAAGTGGTTCTCAGGAAGATGGCCCTATCATCGGATTCTTCTTCACCTGAGAAATGCCTGTTCTCAGAATTTTTAATACCATTCTGAACTGGAATTACCACTTACTCCTTAACCCTTGACCTGTAATCTAACACTATAATGATTTTTAATACAACCACTAGCACACCTTACACAGAGGGAGATGTACAAAAGGCTGCCTTTAGTGGCCTTCTAACACCACTCAGAACTTGGGTTCACCTCATTTTCATTGACTTCTAAATCACTTCCCTTTTGTGAGGGCATAAAAATGACAATAAGCAAAGCCCTCGTCATCCTTTGGGTTCATGAATAGGCCAAACCTAGTAGTAATATAAGTAGCATCAGAAAATCAGAAATGTCCCTGGTAAGTACTCATTTTTCAAAGAATAGATACCAAAGTCTACATAAGATCAAGGATTTCTTAAATCTAGCATCTTCTTACATAAGGAATAATAACTCAGTGATAAAACCTCAGTATTGTGTACCACACTCCCAATATACACATATGCAGATTATTGTGATCAGCCTCTCCCAAAACCGCCTTCCCCCAGAAGAAAGAAACAACTAGAAAAATGGCATGTTCTAAAATCTCTTATATGCTCAATATAGCTACCTCATATACACTGTTAGTTAAATCAAATTATTTTTTTAATTCATACCACTTATTTATTTTTCTTTTTTTTTAAATATTTTATTTACTTATTTTTAGAGAGGGAAAGGAGGGAGATAGAGAGAGAGAGAGAGAGAAATATCAATGTGCGGTTGCTGGGGGTTATGGCCTGCAACCCAGGCATGTACCCTGGCTGGGAATCTAACCTGGGACACTTTGGTTCCCAGCCCGCGCTCAATCCACTGAGCTACGCCAGCCAGGGCTAAATCAAATTATTTTTAAAAATATTTTTAAAAGAATACCAGTAGATTCCTTGTAGTTTATCCTGTGTTATGTGGATCCCCTTTTGAACATTATTATTTATTAACCTCTGGAACATGGTGGTAAATATATGATGGAAAATTCAGATTGCAGTGGCTGTGTCAATCGTGATTGGCAAGCAAGTCCCCTTGGTCAGGCTACTTTCAATAATAACTTTTTCATGGAAAATGATTTGGTCTTTGTTTAAATTTCTTTTCTTTTTAGATACAGTTCAGTTGTCTACATTTTGAATAATAATGATGTATCAGTTCCCAGTGTAATTCACATGGCGAGTAAATGGTGGAAGTTATGGTTAAGAAAATGCTTACAGGCTACTAAAGTTGTCATCCATCCTCATCTAGAGCTTAAAACTACTTAATAGGAAAAATACCTTGAGCCTTTGTATTTTTTAATGTTTCACTAAACCTTATTTTTCCAGGAAAAGCTGACAGGTTTTTAGCAGAACCTACCTAAAACAAGGTGACATATTTTTTAACTAAGATTTAAAATCTAGAGGGTAGGAGGAAATTTTTTAAATTCTATAGATTATTTACAAAGCACTGGTACTCAAAAACATGCATCTGTTTGAAATTTGAGATAAGTGAGAGTTTGGAGAAATACTTCCTGTAGACACATTCTCTGGCATGGACACAACACACATAAACAAGGAGTGAACCACATCTCTAAAAGATTACACAGTTCCCAGCCTCCTAAACACATCGAATGTAGTGTTTACATATCTTGGAGAGAGATAACAAATGTTTCTAATTAATGAATTGGACAGTTCACTTTTCTCATTGCTTTTTATTCTTTTTTTTTAAGATTTTATTTATTTATTTTTAGAGAGGGAAGGGAGGGAGAAAGAGAGAGAGAGAGAAACATCAATGTGCGGTTGCTGGGGGCCGTGGCCTGCAACCCAGGCATGTGCCCTGACTGGGAATTGAACCTGCGATGCTTTGGTTCACAGCCCACACTCAGTCCACTGAGCTATGCCAGCCAGGGCTCACTGCTTTTTATTTTTGAGTGAAAGTCAACATCTGCAAGGTCTGCTCTGTAAGTTTTTACTTCAGAGACAAGTGTCTCTCAGTTCCCTCAGACTTAACGTTAGTTCTAGGAAAACCTTAATAAGTATGGCTGTTCAAAATGAGGAGCCAGAGATTGATGGGATCTTAGATCACAGTGGAGCCGGTGATACAGCTTAAAGGCCTCACAGCGGGCAGGTTTACCTAGCACATCTGCCCCAGCAGGGCAGGGCTAGCGAAAGGAAAGAGGATACAAGAAGTAGAGTATTGTAGTCAGGTGTCTCTGAGGTATGTAGTGCCATTGAGTTCAGAATCCTCAGCCTTTTACACAGAGTGTTTTAATGTTTGGGGAAGGTTTGTAAGTTATAAATAGGATATATATATATTTTAATTATGGCATGTATATGCTAAAAATTCTAATTTTCTGCTTTCTCAGAATAGTTACTGAAAAAAACAATTACTAGAAGCTCCTTCACAGTAAAAGGAAAATGTGTGTGGAACCAAGGGTGGAAATTTTGATGACAGTGGAGTTTCAGAAAAGTAATGTGTACGACATATATTGATTGGGTCATTGATTTTTTTAAAAAAATACAACTCTATTCAGGGTTCTACCACTGTTCTTAAAATAAATGTTAATTTGGAATTTTTATCCTAGACCACTAATTCTGTATATTTGCCTTTTTTTGTTATTTGTTTTTCTGCAGTGATGAATCTAACCTCCCAAGCATGAAGTTGTGTACATAATGGTCCACTTTTTATATTTATAGTTGAAAATCGAATTGCAGATTTCACAAGTCTGAGATATGTTTACGTGTAGCTGCTTCCTCCTGTTTGCAGTAGTGCACATGTCCATCTTTTCTTCACTTACATCTAAAACGGGGCAACCTGTGAAACTAGTGAGAAGCATGCAAAAAAATATAGATCAGTATCTCTATCTTATGTAAAGATATGTATTTATATGGACATAGCAGTGATAGAGAATGATTGTTCTTGCTATTTTCTTACTTTGGGTTTGTTCATTGCATGGACAAAAGGTGCCATGAAATAGTTTACATAAAATTGTGACCAAATATGGACTCAAGCCCATGAAAGTGTACTATACTGACTGATACTAGAGTTTATCGTCACGTCCCTACTCACCTTCACTCTCAGCATTGAGTTCACCCCACCCACGGAAACCGACTAAAAAAGCATGACTGTGCCAAACCCGCTCGTTGCCGTGCGACTCCAGATACTAGCATGCCTCTCCATGAGTCCTCTGATCACATCTGAGCTTTTATTTCTTTTGTCATCTCAAGGGGGTTACACCGTGGCTTATTGCCAAAAAGAGATAAGGTGGTGGAGAGCACACACACAAATGGTCTTGTATTTTGAGGGAGCTGCGGTCCCAGCTGCGGATCTACAGCTTCCAGTATTGCAGGCTCAAGTGAACACCTTGGTTGAAATATCGAGGGGTTGAGCTGCTTGTGCCGCCGGTTTTCCTTGGGCTGCCCTCGGCAGTGAAGACCAGGAAAGAGGACCGGTTCAGCCTCCTGCGCTGTCTCTCCGTGTGACCAAGTAGGAGAGAGGTTTACGAGTGCAGGCACCCAGAACAGCAGACCTTCTTTTTAATAAACTGAATTTCAGCAGATGTTAGGATGGGTGCTTTGGGAAAATGACAGCGACATAACAGGACTTCTTTCGGGTAGAAGATTCTTGGAATGGCAGCCTCTGTTTCTGAGGAGGAAGGGTGTGTACATCCCACCAAAGCTCAGGTTGCTGACAAATTCACACGTCCTAAAGGGGGCTTACTCCACAGTCTCTACCGAAGCTGATGTGCGAGCTTTTCTTCTCTCCAAGATGGAACCCACTGCAAACATTTTCAACAAGGTTCTAGAAACAGAGGACTTCCAATTCTTTTAAAGTCTTTTTTTTTCTTTTTTTTTAGTGCACGGAACACTAAGCTGAAATACTTTTGTCATATTCGTTTGAACATTTTTTTAACAAAAAGTCTTTAAATCCTAATAACTTGGAACCAACAGTCAAAATGGCCTTTTACTAATTTCTTTCTCTCTGGTTCTAAATAATGGAAGAGGATGTGAAAGAAGCTCCACTTCCACTTCAGTCATAGCAAAGTATCAAAGTTAAGCAATTTTTTCAGTACTTTTTTACTTCTTTCATATGATTAATATAACATACATAGTGATTATCAGTAAAGATAAAGTCAAGATTTGGTCACATTTGATAGTATTAACTCGTTTCTATTTTTTGTAGCTCTATTTAGATTTAAGATTTGTTTCTATTTAGATTTCTTTATCTTTTTTTTTTACATTTCTAAATGTTTGTCATATGCATAGACCAAATCTGAGATCTCAGAAAGCTGTGAAATATAGTTGCCATAGAGAGAGTATTTTTTCACCTTTTTGCTCAGAAGTTACCTGACTGGATTAGACTGAGCATTTCTTTGCACAGTGAAGTGTTGGTCCAGTGTTCCGAAATGGCTTGTTCTACACGGGAGAGTTCCATTAGGGAAAACTTCATCAATGAGGAGTTGTCGCATTTAGCTCATGGGACAATATAATTTTTCTCCCAACTTGATGCCATTTGGTGGGGAAATTTCGAGTTTCACGCATAGATTTTCACCACCAAAGGGAAAATTAGCTCATCATTGACTTATGCTGACAATAGTCAAGGTATGGTCATAAGATGAGGATCCTACACGGTCCTTAAGAGCTCTTTCATATTTTATAACCAAATGCTCAATTACACAAAATGCCTTCTTTTTATTCCCATTAAGTTTTCAATATTGGAAAGATGTTCAAACAATTGGATCAATCTGATTGGTCGCAATTCTAGTAACATTCCACACTCTGAAGCCAATGTGACATCTTTAAAACAACAGAGGGCATTTTCCTAACCATCTCTTGTACAACATGGTTAGGATAAAGTATTGTTGTTCAATGTCTGAAAAAATGTGTCTTAAATGGATTGGAAAAATAAACTGAAGCAGGTCAAACTATAGTCTCCTCAGGAAAACAAAGAGCAGTATCTTGAGAAAAATCTGGTGGTTATAGTTCATCCTATCTATCTTTCTTTCTACTCCTCTAGTAGAAACAGGTACTAAGATGGGTCACTATTTAAAACTTGCACAGCTTCTAAAGAGAATAATACCTCAAAAGATAATCATTTTATGTACAAAATTTTTAAAAAGGCAGCCCTTTAAGATTATTGTTCTGTCCTATGTGTATATTGGGTTTTTGCTTTCACTTGGTAACATTGGCCTTTATTCCATGATTAAAGGAATAAAATTATTAACTCGTATTACATGTACTTCCTTGGGAAAAACAAAGGGATCACAGTACTCCTCTTTGTTCAGTGGAATTACTGGGTCTTAACCACTATGGATAATCATAAACTTTTGGTTACTAAAATATTTTCAACCATCCATTTTGTCATCAATATAGAGAATCCTTAAGTAACTGCCAAGTGAACTAATAAATTATGTCTGCTGACATATGTGTTGGCAGATACATATATTTTAAAGATTTCTTTCTTTTAATTTATATAATCGGATAGAGGATTGAGGAAAACTACGTGAAAGACACATTGGAAGTAAATCAAGATCATGTTCTATTGCTGATAAGCATCTTTTAAGGATACCAAATTGGTTGGTGTTTTAGCTTTAAAATTGTCTTTCATTCGTGTTGGTGCTGATGTTATTTCTTTTATTTTTCTTTATGGACAGTGCAACTCTACTATGGATAATTTCTTTCTCTGTTTAATAGCATTCCTAAACTGTTAGTGTGTGATTTTATTTTTAAAGTTCATGAATTTGCTGTAATCACAGTTCAATCAATGACCAGTCTTTGTTAACATAAAACAAACGGAACAATGAACCCATAGATGATGTGTCCTTACCTGGATCATGATCCTCATATCACATGTTCTTCTCACGTTCTATGTATGCCTTTATCAACTTTCATTCTCATCTTTTAGCTTACAGAATGGATTGTGTGACAAAACCAGAATTAGACAAACCTGCCTACATTCATAGCATGCCTGATACACAAGTAGGCCTAAATTTTTCCTGTAGTTTTTATTTCCATTATGAAAAGCAGTCTTCAAGAATTTTTCCGTTTTATTTGATTTTATAGAAAACATGAGACTGTCTTGAATTTCTATCTCCAAAAAAGTCTTCTTGAATTTATTTCCCCTGTGTGGTGTTCTAAAGGCACAGGAAGAACTTACACCACTAGCAGTTCATTCCACATGTCCTTTGCTAGTTTGGGAAACAGTCAGGTCAGCATGTCAGTATCAGTGGAAAAATTGTTGGTATCTTATATTTTCATTACTTAAGAAATGTGCTTAATTTTCCAAGATCTTTATTTGTTTTGTTTTTTTTTTTTGGCTGTTACTATCATAGCATAAAATGTTAACACCACTTTTCATCCCTTTTTTTTTTTTGCCTCTATCTATTATCTTGCTCAGGAGTCAGTTATGCTTTGCTTGGTGAGTGGTGTTTTCATACCTTCTAATAAGTAATTATAAGAATATGCCAATATTGGTATTTCCTCTGTTTCCTGATAATCAAGTTATATTAATGGTTAACATTACCAAAAACATGAACTGTTTCAGCTCATACCAAAACAAAAAAACAAAATCCCTGCTATCTCTAGAAAGTCAAGACCATAGCAACATATTCTTATATTCTCATAAATAACAATTCAGAACAATATCATACATTTGATTCTGGCTCTTAAAATTATTCTCTCCTAGTGGAATTAACATGATTGACCAATTACGATTTGCTGACCTTCAGTCCCTACCTTTTCCACTTACATTGAAATATCTTCATATTGGCTAGATTTACTATATGCCATAGCAAAGATACCCTTCCAATTTAAATTTTTTATGGATTTAGTATTTGTTAATCCAATGCTGAAACATTTTAATGGCATGTCTGATTTTTTTAATGTGCTTAGATGCATAAGATTCCCTGTGCTGTTTATTGACAGAACGGTCCTTTTGGGAATAGGGAGACTTTTTAAACCTGACCTGTTATGATTTATTGAAAACTTAATAAAGTATTATCATCTCTTACAATGCAGTTGATATTTTCACATATCCCAGAAATATTAATTGGATTCACAAAAAGTGTCTTACATATTATTGACATTTATGTGAACATTCTTTATACTGTTGTAAATGTTTCATGCAACTGAATTACATTTTTAAAAGATGTATGTATCTGATTTTTCTTTAGAAAATATTATATTTTTATTTGTATTTTTTACATTTTAAAGTTCATCTCTACATGCAGCTATTTTTATATTGCCAAAAAATCACATAAATGCAAAATAAGAGGAAAATGCAAACAAAATATTTTGGCACACAATACACTGCATATTTTTCTTAATATTTTGTGGGCCAGTCTCATACAATTGATTATTCTAAGATGTGTTGTGTCTTATCAGTGTAAATATGGCACAAACCTGTTTTTCTCTGTAGTGTAAATAATTGAGAGATGAATTCTCCCTGTTTGATTTCTTGTTTCAATTTTATTTTAATTTCTCCAGCTGACATTGCTGAATCAACCAATGCATGTGATTTTCAATTTGCAGTTTGAAGATAATTGCATTGTGTTCAGTTTCTAATTTGTCTTTATTTGCTTTTATAACTTGTTTACAGGGTTCTTAGTTTGTGAGAAGTTGATCTTCAGAATTATTTTTACACTATTTATGACTTATTTTCATAATGTAAAAAGTGTGTAATTATTACAACATTAATCCAAACAATGGTTATGAATTGTATTGTTATAAAGCTTTATTGATATTCATGAATACCTTGGCCTGTTTTCTCTGATTTAAACACAGCCCATAAATAATTTTATTTTACACTTCTACAATACTGCAATACCCCCATTCAACTTAATGCACATACCTAGCCATGATGATTTTGTTTTAAAAAATTTGTACTTGCACTCTCTGTTTATCAAACAGTAATGCCTCCAGACTGAACTTCCCCTCCAAACTCACCTTTCTGCCAGAATTCTCCATCTGGACAAATTAAACCTCCTTACACTCCATTAACTTTTATTTCCACCACATCAAATCAGTTATTATTGTTCAATTAGAAAGTAATCACTTAAATATATTGAGTAATGAAGGTCAAATGCCTCCAGTCAAGTCACCAGTTATTTACAAGTCCTTACTGAAAGCACACACTTCTCAGTCCTCATCTCCCTCACTCTCACCAGCAGCACAGCTGCAGCTGCCCACTGCCACCCTCTTACACACTCTGCCTTTAGCTCCCATGCTCAGGCATGCGGCAGTCAGTGTGTTTCTTGCTCAGTTGACATTCTTCTTTTAGGAGCCATTCCAAGTAGTGACTATTCAGAGCTGTCTTCACTGGTAACACCTCCCTGTGTGGCACTCCTTCCCACTCCCCCCTTCCGTCTCCATTACTCCCCTCATCCCCTCTCATGTCTCCACCAAACGTTCTCCTCTTAGTTTGAATTGGAGCCTGACTTTAGTACTGACCCAAATCCATCATTCAAAGGCAATGACAAGATCCAAGAGTAATGAGTAATAAAGTCCCATTTGGGAAATGTTTTTCAGCACAGTGCATAACAGGCAGCCAACTAGAAATAAACTTTTCTTACAAAATTAGGAGTTGACTTGCAAATTAAAGGGGTGGCTGGAATACGAGAACAAGGAAAGAGGTGAGCCATGTTTATGTTGAATCAATATATCAAGTCACTGAGCAAGAAGCTAGGAATACTGAAATGGTAAGACTTTAGAAAAATAGATGTTGACTTCACCTATGGCTAACATGTTTGATAAATGAACAAAATATCAAATGTCTTGCCATTTAGATATTGAATAACTGTGGGGTTTCCTAGGCTATTCTATCTTCAGAAAATCAAAACAACCATAAATAAAAGCGAGTGATATTGGAAAAATTGTGTAAAGGTGTTTGACAAGATAATGTATTCTGAAATTATTTTAGTCACATATTTTACTCTATTTTCTGTTTTAAACTTACTGTCCATAATTTACTCTGTACAACTTACTGCCCTATCAGCTCTCACGTCTCTTCTTTAATTCATCTAAGAAGCTGGTGCCACTCTAAGAATGCTACCACAGTAAAGGTACCTTGTCTGTTCTTGGAGCTAAGGATTCATTAATTTTGAAGGAGTATTGTCCTCCCTAACTCACCACCTTTTCAAACATATAAAAAAGGGCCCTGGTCAGTGTGGCTCAGTTGGTTGGGCATTGTCCCACAAAGTGAAAGGTCACCAGATAGCTCCTGGTCAGGGCATGTGCCGGGTTGGCTGGGTCCCCAGCTGGGGCGCATGCAGAAGCCAACAGGTCAATGTTCCTCTTCCTCTTCTCCCTTCCTTTCCCTCTCTAAAGTCAAACATAAAAATTTAAAAATATGTAAGAACAGAGAAGAGCCTAATTACACCATATTCTGATATAAAAAAGTACTGAATATATAATATAAGAAAGGTGAAATTAAGATACAACATTTGATAAAATTCAATAGATAGTCCTGATAAAAACTGAAATGGAAAATTTTTATATTATTGGACTATATTTCCTTAATCTGATATAGGTATGAATATGTTAAAAACCTATAGTATGGACCATGGCTGGTGTGGCTCAGTGGATTGAGTGCCGGTCTGCGAACCAAAGGGTTGACGGTTTGAATCCCAGTCTAGAGCATATGACTTGGTTGTGTGCAGATTCCCCATAGGGGGTGTGCAAGAAGCAACCACACATCAATCTTCTTCTCCCACACTTCCTGTCTCTAAAAATAAATAAATAAAATCTTAAAAAAGAAAACCTACAGCATGAGGGGCTGGGGGTGGGTGTGGGTAGAAGAGGGTATAAGGGGGATAAATGGTAATGGAAAAAAATACAATTTAAAAATGCAGACAGTTAAAAAATAAATGAATAAATAGTTTTTTAAAAAACCTACAGCAAATGTTTTTCTTTTTTAAAATTCATTTTATTGAGGTGTAATTGACTTATAAAAAGCTGTATTTAATGTATGCAACTTGAGTTTGGAGAAAAGCGTACAGAAGTGAAACCATTACCTCAGTCTACAAACATCTTTCTTTTAACAGCAAAAAGTTAGAAATGATCCCTTTAAAGTCAAGAACAAGAAAAGAATATTTAATATCACTACTCCTATTAAATACAGGGTGGGGCAAAAGTGAGTTTACAGTTGTGAGTATGTGAAACAGTTTTTCTTGCATTATTACTTATTAATTATTGGACTATATTTTCATATGAACAACAGTAAACCTATTTTTGTCCCACCCTGTATTGTATTGAAAGTCGCAGCCAATGCAATTAGGAAGCAAAAAATAAGGTAAAAGGGTTGAAAAGAAAGAAACAAAAAAACCTCTCTGTATTAGTTTTCTATGGTCCTGTAACAAATTACCAAAATTTAGTGTCTTGAAACAACACAAATTTATTATCTTATATTTTCACAGTTCAAAAGATCCCACTGGGCTAAATTCCGGGGTTGGCAGGGCAGCATTGCTGTGGAAGCCGGGAGGGGGAATCAGTGTCCTTCCTTCTCCAGCACCCAGCAGCTGCCTGCATCCTTGGCTCCCTCTTCCATCACCAAAGCCAGCAGCATGTGGCCAGTCCAAGCCCTTCTGATGCCACGTCTCTAGGCTTCTTCCTCTTCTGCCTCTCTCTTCCTCTTGTAAGGGTCCTTGGGATTACACTGGGCCACCTGGATAATCTAGGATGATCTCCCTATTTTAAGGTCAGCTAATAAGCAAACTCAGTTTTTCCGCAGTTTTTATTCTCCTTTGGCATGTAGCATAATGTAGTCACAGGTTCCAGGGGTTGGAGACAGCCGTCTTGGGGCGTCATTATTCTGCCTCCCACACTGCTGTTATTCACGGATCATTTGACTGTGTGTATAGATAAACCAAAAGGAACTACAGATTGTTGTATTTTGGAGTATTGGCATCTAAAAATTATAGTTAATGTAACTGATATTTTTGATAAAATGATGATGCTATTCATATCACATTCTTTTCACATGTTACGCTAGGAAGAATACTTGACAATCTTGGTATGTTAATACTTAAATATTTTTTGACTTCTGTTTATCTTTAAAATGTTATGGTGTGTGATTTTTGTTGTTTTTATTTATTTCAACTGGAAAGCTGTCCTTGGTTTTGTTTTGTTTTAAGCTATTTAGGATTTCATGAGAGGGCATGTAACAGGATACTATTATTACATAATATTATACTGAACCTTCATAACACTGAAAAGTAAATATTTTTCTCCCTCTTTTACAAATAAAACAGCTGAGGCTCAGAAAAGTTGGATCACTGTTCTTCCAATAAATAAGTGACCAAGCGAGGACTTGCATACCAGACAACAGTCACGGCTCTGGATGCTGCACCACCTTCCAGCTCCTCGGCTCTGCCCTCTGGGCAGGTGCCTGACATCGCTGCCATTTATCCCCACCCTGAGATGGCATGTTCCATATGGGACAACAAACCACAATAATACCACTTATATTTTTGTAGTACTTTGTAAGCCACTTCCATATCAATTACATCTTATTCTCTCCATGACGAAACAAGATGAATAACACTGCATTAATATTTCCACTTAGGAAAAAGAGTGAGAGAGGAAGAACTATGCAGCCAAGATGACACGGCCATTAATAGCACAGCATAGAACCAGAATCTCCTCATCCTTAGAACATGGTGCTATCACCGAGAAATAGAGCACGAAAACCCTGGGAAGCAGTGTTCCAAAGCCATTTGATATGCATTTTCCATGAGATACTTTTGGGCAGGGAAAAATCTGTTATAAAATCTCATTATTTTCTTTTGTGTTAAACTTTTTCCTTTTTTCATCATAACAGGAATATATTATTTCTAGGACATTCTCAGTTGATGTTTGCAAAGTCTTTGTTGTCATTCAAAAAACATGTAGTTTAGTGTTTAAAAACTCAGTTGCTGGAGCTAAATGGCCTGAGTTTGAATCCCTGTTTGACCTCTTACTAAGGCAAGATATGACATGGGGCGGGGGGGGCGCCAAAAACCGGAATTATCTTCTGCAGGGAGGACCCCTTGTAGTACAGGCTTCCCCCACTAGGTGAGTGTTCTAGGAACCTGTCAGTATTATTGTACAACCTGGCATTGTTGTGAGAGGCTGCGTTTGGCTTCAGTAGATTTTTTTTTTGGAAGACCCTTTTAATGCTTTTGCCCATTCCATGATGAGTGATTTACAAGCACACCTGCCCACACTGCACTGAGTGTTCGGCAGTTTTTGGCCAAAAATGGTATGATCCCCATGCCCCACCCTCCCGATTCACTCAATCTCGCCCTGAAAGACTTTTCTGTTTTGTTTTCCTGGATGAAAAAATTCCTCAAAGGGAAACATTTTGCTGAAGAGGTGAAAGAAAAAACAGCAGAAACACTAAAAGGCATCAATATCGACAAGTTCCAAACTGCTTTCAGCAGTGGAAAGAATGTCTCAGTAGGTGTATCGCATCAAGTGGAGGGCATTTTGAAGGTGACTGAAGTTTAAACATAAGAATAAATACACAATGTTTGATAAATAAATTCCAGGTTTTTGGGGTTCCCCCTCATATTTAACCTCAGTGGGCCTCAGTTTCCTAATTTGTAAAATGGGAATGATAAAAGTACCTGCCTCAAGATGGTAAGCTAACGCACACCTTTAGAGAGTCAGTACACACATAAGCTTAGGTCAGAGCCCAGCCCAGAGTCAGTCCTTACTATG